CAGAGGGTTGCTTGAGAACTCTAGAGAATTTGAAATGACCTGGGTTAGGGCCACTGTGGAAGGAGGGAAAATAGAAGAGTTAGGAAGCCCAAGAGATACTGGTGGGTGCCTATGGAGACAGCTTTGGTTTTTCACCATTGGGAGCATTGATCAAAGATAAAAAAAAAAAATCCCATTGGTCCTGTGGCCATTTAGGGCTGTTCCTGAACCTCTTTTCCCTGAAATTACTGTAGGGAGGGCTATAGGCCCTGCTAGTCATGAAGGACTGCTTCCACTAACTTTGGTAAAGCTTTAAGTGGCTCAAGAAAGTTAGAAATTTGAGGGAGGATAAAAGACCAGAGTCAGTTTCATCTAAATTGAAATTTTCTTTTTTGGCATGTGCTTTCTTTACATTTCAGTAGATATTTGGTTGTGTCAAGGCATACTTGAGGATTAGGAAAGAAAAAAAAAGGCTTTAATTGGTGAAAGAATGTTTAATTTAAAATGCTTTTGCTTAAAAAAGTGGGAGAGGAAAGCAGTTCTGGAATTATTGAAGAAATACAGGGAATATGTCAAAATCCATGGGAAATGTGTCTATATAAAGAATTCAGCTTACCCTCCTCATCCGTGGGTATCTTGTCAGAGATCCTAGTGACTTCTGGACTGCATCTTTCAGAGCAGACTTTTGTAGCTAAGCTCTTCTGAGCTGTCTGGCGCATCTATGTATATATATGCCTCAAGCTAGGTGTTTGGATACTAAGTGACAAGTTCTTCATATCTAAAATTGCAAAGCAAATACCAGCAACTGTTCTAGAGTGTTTCACAGTCCATAAGTTATACTTGCTTGATAAATGAGTTGATCTAACTAAAATTTACCCCCCACCCTTTACAAAAGCCATTTTGTTTTAAAATGCAAGGTCTTATTTCCCCAAGTATAAATATATAATGTAAATTATTGTATGATTATTGAAATAAATAAATATGCATTTCTCTGGCTTGATATCAGATTCCATTTGGGAGGCCTCCATCCCGGTCTAGGGGCAAGAGTGATAGTTGGGTTCTCAGCTCAGCTGGGAGACTCATTTCCTTCCTTCCTCTGTTACTTACTTGGAGACCTCGAGAAAGTTATGCCTCCCATGATTGTGTCTTTCTTAATTGTCAGAATGGGGACAGGACCTAGCTTATAGAGTGGTGAGGATTAAGTGAGAATATACACTAAGCAATTAAGACAGTATATGGTGGGGCTGGGGATGTGGCTTAAGCGGTAGCTCTCTCACCTGGCATGCTTGCGACCCGGGTTCGATCCTCAGCACCACATACAAACAAAGATGTTGTGTCCGCCAATAACTAAAAAATAAATATTAAAAAAATTCTCTCTCTCTCTCTCTCTTTTTCAACAGTATGTGGCTCATGAACTATCCAGGTGCAGTACTAATAAGAAAAATATGGGTTACTAGTTATTGTGTCATTGGGCTTTTCTTCTAAAATTTTGCATACCAGTTTAAAAATATATTTGATGGAATTTTTTTTCATACATATTTTTTTTTAAAGTGTGCTATTTTATTATAGCAAAAACTTTTTTTTTTAAATGAAAAACACCATAGCAAGCCTGGGGATCATGTAACTAGAATAGCCTTTTGTGCACCAAAAAACTCCTGTATTTTCTTAGCCAATATGATATTCAATAAGTTTATTGTGCTATGTAAAAAATGCTCACTAAGCTATACCATATGCCGCAGCTTTTTAAAGAATCCTAACATCATCACAATTTTGTAAAAAAAAAAAAAAGAAATAGAAAAATATTGATACAGCATATTAATACATGATTCTATTATTGTGAAAAAAGACAGTATAGTATTAACAACTTTACTACCAAGTCTTCATGCCTTTGTAGATATGAATTATTTTAGTATTTGGTATTGTACATTGTAAGGAGATATGGGTGTGTTTATTGAAAACTAACGCAGATAATAGGTATTTTATGTAGAATTTATCATTATCAGTATTTAATAATGTGTACCTTCAGATCATTAACATTTATTTTATTTAGTGTTTTACAATTGCCTTTATTGTTTTTTAGCTATCTTTTGGTCTTTGTAGGCTTATGGTCTAAAAAAAAAAATACATGATGGAAAAGAAAGTTCTTTTTCCAGTCTGACTCCAATTCTCCATTTCCTCTAGAGAATCAGTGCCTGTCAGCATTTTCTTGAATCCTTTCAGAAATATTTTTTAATACCTTTATTTCACTTATTTATTTTTATGTGGTGCTGAGGATCACACCCAGGGTCTTGCACGTGTGAAGCGAGAGCTCTACCACTGAGCCACAACCCCAGCCCCATCAGAAATATTTTATAAACATGCAGTAGATACCACTTCCCTCCCACTCCTCTCCATACTTACTTTTCTTTATTGGAATTGAACTCAGAGGGTTTCATCAAGCTATATCCCCACCCTTGAAAGATTTTTTAAAATTTTGAGATAGGGTCTTGCTAAGTTTCTCAGGCTGGCCTGAAATCTGCCATCCTCCTGCCTTAGCCTCCCGAATTGCTAGGATCACAGGTGTGCACCATCACATCTGACTTCAAGAGTATATCTTGAAGGGCTGGAACTGTAGCTCAGCAGTAGAGCACTTGCCCAGTATGTGTGAGGCACTGGGCTTGATTCTTAGCAACACATAAAAATAAACAAATACAGGCATTCTGTCTATCTACAACTACAAAATGATAAATAAATAAATAAATAAATAAATAAATAAAAGAGCTTCTCTTGAAGATCATTTTGTATTTTCTCATTTGTGTCATTTATATGCTAAAAATAAAAAGCATAACACTGTATGGGCAAATTGCTTTTTTAAAAAAAATTTAGTTGTAGATACACACAATATTTTTATGTGGTGCTGAGGTTTGAACCCAGTGCCTCACACATGTGAGGCAAGTGCTCTACCACTGAGCCATAATCCCAGCCTAGCAAATTGCTTTATGATTAAGTTTATATGCTATTTTTGCCTTATTATGGGAGAACAAAAATATTTTATATAATTATCAGATGATGTAAATATCAATAGGCATGGCTAAATAATAGAACCTCATCTTATTTTTGATCATTTCAAATGCAAAGTCAACACAAGGACTGTTAATTTGCAGCCTTCGGTGCAGGATAGATACTAAAATTGGACCACTATTTTTAAAACGTGAAGCAAGAGATAGAAACAATTTTGAATAGTGGAAAGGACATATAAGATGACCTAGACCAAAAAGATTCAGAGTCAGCCACAACAGGAATCACATTTTTCAGTCCTGGGGAATTATGCTCAGAAAGCCTACTGAGGCTATTTAATTACGTTCAATATAAAATAACTATGTCTATAAATAGTTTTAACTACAGAAAACCTAAGAGTGAGAATTCAATAAAATGAGTAATGCTAAGATGTAAGGGAGTAAAATCCCTTTTTCCCTCTTCACTCATTTGAAGTCTTCTAATTTTTAAAAATTAGTGTAAAATTAAGTAGTGGGCAATGGAATATTTTTTTAAAAATTTAATTGTACATTAAATTAGAACCAGAACCCCCTTTTAAAAGATAGAAATTTATTATTTTGAAAGAACACCTAAATTTTAAACAAGTTGGTGTACAGATCCTAAATGACAAGTGAATTCTATTGTTTGAGAGGTCTGAGAGTAATTTAATATGATTTAAAAATAATCAGTGATAAATTTCAGTGAATAGATTATTTAAGAAATTGATGTGCTTCCCTTAAAATTTTAGGGATATCAAGCCTTTTATATAAATATAGTTAAAAGTATGTAAGATTTCCTACAGCTTTGAGCCCTGCCGTCTTACAAAGCACAAATTTTCATTTATTTTCTGAAGTACCTATCAATCTGATATAACTGGTATACACAAGAGGAATGCCATGTAATTTGTGCTCATCTTTAGCTTTACTCTGAATATACAAGCCACTAAATAATTTAAAAAGTGAGTTGCACTGCTACTTAGCAGAAGTCTTAAGAATGTAATTCTACTTTTAGATAATTATTATAAAGAAAACATGGATATGAGCAAAGATTTTTCTACAAGGGTGTTCATTGAAGTATTATAACAAAAATGGGAAGCAATGCATATACCCTGAAACAAAGAGATTTATCAAATTAATTACGATATAGTATATATGACCATTAAATATCATATTGATAATATGAAAACAAACTGATAATGTGTCTGTCCACACCTATAAAAAAGGTTTTAAGATAGTGTGCTCACATTTTTCACCCCTTAGCAAAGGTACACATGGCTTGGAAAGTAAACCAGAAAGAAAGATAGCAGAAAGATATTAGGTTATATTTCTTGATAGTAGAATTATGAGGCTTTAAATGTTCAGTTTGGGGCATTTGTTAGCAATTACTCTCTATGAGGAACACCACCTTCTTACTTTCTTACAGCCTCATATTACAGATTTTTTTTCCCCTCTGAGTTTGTCTTGCCTGCTCAGTAAGAAGGGCCCCGCTGCCCTGGGAAAGGCCTAACACAGGGAAGGCAAAAGGATGTGGCAGAGTCTGGATTATTTTAAAGCTAAACATTTCAAACCACAAACACCAGCCCTAGGGGAACAGACTTGAACTTCCTTTACCCTTTTTGTGGACATTATTCATTTCTTCACAGCTTCCTTTCTGATCTCTTCCTTTACATTTATAAATGTTATACTTTTCTCAAACTTGAAATGCTGATTTTGCTGAATTAGTAGGATAAAATGTAAATGAAAATTATAGAGGCTATCTAGAAACGTTTGTACCCTGTGAAAGCAGAGGGTGTGAAGAATGTGCGTCCCTATTTGTGTCTAGGTTACTGTATGCAGGCCTGTCTGGGAAGGGGTTGCTGGGAGACCTACCTGCTCCCTTGGTTCCTTGTCAGCCAGACCTTATGGATGATTTCTTATACCCTCCCTTCTTGTGTCCTCCCTCTGTACCTTATATTGCTTAAATGCTTCCAAAGGGCTAATGTTCTTTTCATTATTTGCTTTTTCTAGATAAAAAGTCCTGAAGTAGTCTTTCCTGTCCAAAGATGGAAAATAGTACCACTACCATCTCTCGGGAGGAGCTTGAAGAACTGCAAGAAGCATTTAATAAAATAGGTATGCTTGAGGAAGAGGAAATGTGCTATGACTGTTCTGCCTGATGTCAGATTTCAGTAGCAGAACAGTACGTTTTATTTCTTCTGTTTTCACTAGTGATCCTCAGGTTTATTCCTTTTCCCCCACTCCCACTCTATCTAGGTTTCACTGGATTCTTTCATTCTGAGAGATAAAATAAAGACTGGCTTGAATTTCTAGATGAAATGGACTTTGAATTCTTAGATCACTTCTTTGCATAGCATAATCTAGGTTAATGAATGACAGTGTAACTGAATATGCTTAACGGGTATCCTCATTACAGTGAAAAAAACATAGAAACACTTCCTTGTGTATAAGCTGAACTCTGTCCTTCACGTCTTTGTCACTAGCAGTAGTGACACTTCTTGACTGCATGCAGCATGTTTGGAAAATCTAGTGTTGTTTTTAAAGGTCATGTGCCTTATTTTCCTTCTCACGCATAATTTAAAAAATTTTAGTATTGTTTTTAAAGGCTGTATGTCTTGTTTTTCTTCTTTTGCTTTTTAAAAAGCCACTGTTTTGTCTTTATGACATGGACATCTTGACAGCTTTTTATTTTTATTTTTTTAAAAAATACATTTTTATTTGTAGATGACAGAGTGCCTTTATTTTATTTATTTATTTTTATGTGGTGCTGAGGATTGAACGCAGCTCCTCACATGTGCGAGGGAATTGCTCTACCACTGAGCCACAACCCCAGCCCAACAGCTTTGTATTTTTCTTCCCCAATTTTTCTTCATACTTGGTTGGATCTCAATACTTCTGCATTTTCTTCTTAGATAACTTTTGGTAAACAAAGAGTACAACATAAATACCATTTTTTTGCCTTAGTCTACAAATACATGCAAAAGAAAGTTGAGCACCATGAATAGACTTTGGGATAGAGATGCCATCTCTGCCCCCTCCCCAACAGACATTTTCCCTTAGACAATGAAGCACTCCAGGAAAATCCCGAGTCAGAGGGTACACCAGGGAGAATACAATGATCCCAGTTAGTCTTGCTCCTAGATTTCTCATCAACGTAGTGAGTAATGACTAAAATTAATGTAGGTGAAATGCAATGCAGGATGAATTTTAGAAAGCAATACAAAGAAAAGAGATTTTATTTTAATAAGCAAAGTTTTTTTAAAAATAAAAAGTAAAGCCTCATGATTTACAAATCATTACTGTGAAATAAAGCAAATTCTATAATTCTCTGGGCTCTTCTCCTTCTTCCTGGGGATGGCATATTTGTCATTAGCACACTGCATAAATAGGTTATGATTCCTAGAAAATTATTAATAAGTTTTATGCAGTATTGTATAAATGCCCAGAATCATTTCAAGACACAAAGTGGGCAGTTATTGAAAAGTTCTGTTTATTGCAGGTACTGAAACAGAAAAGATAATAAACATGCATCTCCTAGCTTGGTATTCCAGTTATTTTATAGGTATAAATAAAAGAGCTACCTAGGTCTTAGTGAAATGAATGAATTAGTAATCTATGTTCTTTCTTTAACACACCAACTTAACCTTTATGACTCATGGACATATAATCTTACAATATTTATTTAATAATATTTTGAATAAGCAGTTCACTAATGGAATAACTCTGACAGCAGAGTGTTTTGTTCTGTGTGAGGGAGCTGCCAACACTAGAAGAATATGTATTTGCTGACTTTATTTACAAGGTAAACTGTGACTCATGTACTCAGCAAGCCCTTGCTAACTTGTACATTACGAGTTCTTTCAGATACAGAGGGACACACCCATCCAACCTTATTAGATGGAGGATTTGGGGACCACTGGAAAAAGTGGGGAGTTAAAATATTTCTAAGTCTTGTTTCTTTTGTTTTCTTTTTACATTCATGGTAAAATAAATGTAATCAAAGTTACCACTCTATTTGTAGTGTATAGTTTAGTGGCATTAAGTATATTCACGTTGTTTTGTATATGACATCACCATCCTTTTCTGAAACTCTTTTCATCTTCCCATGCTAAAACTCTAGAACTAGTAAATAATAATTCCCCATTTTATTCTCCCTTAGTCCCTGGTAAATAATATTCTTTCTGGCTGGATGAATTTTACTGCCCTGGGTACTTCTTCTAAGTGGAATCATATAATATTTGTCTTTTTGTGACTGGCTTATTTCACTTACCCTGATGTCTTCCAGGTTCATCGATATAGTGTGTATCAGAATTTCCTACCTTTTTATGCCTCAAAAGTATTTCATCATGTATATCTATATATAACTTTTTCTTATCCATTCATTGATGGCCATTTGGTTTGGGTCTATGTTTTGGCTATGGTGAATAGTGCTGCTGTGAACACAGTTATTCAGATATCTATGTGAATCCCTGCTTCCAAGGCTCTTGAGTTATACCCAGAAGTAGAACGGTTGGACCATATGAAAATTCTATATTTAATTTTTTTGGGAAATATCATATTATTTTCCATAGTGGTTTCACCATTTTATATTCCCACCAGCAGTGTCCAAGTGTTCTAATTTCTTCATATCCTCACCTACACTTGTTTTTTATTGTTGTTCTTATTGGTGGCAGTGGTATTATATTTTATCTTATAACAGCTACTCTCAGGGATGTGAAGTGGAATTTCATTGTGGTTTGTGCTCATATTTCCCTAAGAATTAGCAATGTTGAACATATTTTCATGTGCTTATTGGCCATTTGTTTGTTTGTTTCTTTTTTKGGGGGGGTACCTTGGATTGAACTCAGGGGTACTTGGTCACTGAGCCACATCCCCAGCCCTATTTTGTACTTTATTTAGAGACATGGTCTCAATTAGTTGCTTTGCTGAGGTTGGCTTTGAACTTGTGATCCCCCTGCCTCAGCCTCCTGAGCTGTTGGGATTACAGGTATGCACCACTGTGCCTGGCTATATTTGCTTATTTTTGAATCGGGTTGTTTGCTGTTGTTGTTACTTGGAAGAAAGTCTTGTTTCTTTTAAAGTCATGATCTTATGGTTAAATAACCATAAGATAAGGTAAGTCATGTTCTTAGTAAATAATTTGGCACAGAATATGTGCTTACTAAATGGTATCTATTAGTTCTTGTAATATCACACCAAAACTGCAGAAGCTGTAGGGATGGAGCTGGCATTTGAGCACCCAGACTTGTCCATTTTCAAAGCTGTGTGTCCTTACTGTTCATTTTAGTTCAGCATGATTGTTGGCAGGTAAATAACTTCTTCAATCTTTTTTTATTTTCCAATATTTCCCTCTATACTGCTGGGATAGCAATAAGTCAATGTGGTCTATTTATAAACTTCAGAATTATGGGAAGCAGTTCTGAACTCCTGCTGTACTAATAATGAAGTTTTGCTTCTAAATTCAAAGAAAGCAGCATTATTACAATACCAAGCAATTCAGCTTCCTAGCTGCCTTGGGATTATAGCACTATATTTGTTACTGGTGGTTCTAGTTTAGTTCATCATTCTGAGGAGTATTCTAAAACTCTCATATTTGAGTTTTAAAGATAAGTACTTGGCCATATCATTAATTCAGCTACAGTGATGAGAGCTCTTTTACTGGGAAGAAAAAAAATATGGGTAACAAAGTAGCTATTGCCAGATGAACAAAGAGGGCCTGTACAAGGTGGACCCAGGCAACAAGCAAAACAGTCCATAGCTCTGTTGCCAACTCTGGATATAAGTGTTTTGTGTTGCCTTTGTTCTGAATCAAGAAGTACTCTCCAGTCCTTAGGAAAACACAGGAAAGAGTGATAATGTGAAAACACCTGGAAACCTGCTTCCAAAGCCCAAATATAGGTGTGAAATATCTTGACAACCCGATCTCATAGTGACATCAGACATGATTCAGCATACATAATGGTATCATAAATACATAATGAAGACCCAGTGAATTATTGACAAATGAAATGAACTGCCACCAAGTGAAATGTAAAACAAAAATACTTGAGGTATATTTTATATAATGTACCTATTTTATGTGCGTTGTGGGGCCAGCAGATTCATTTTGTAAATTCCATTAAGTTAAAGTCTGGATGGGTGTTCCCTCTTGGTCACGCTGATATATATATTAGATATATATGTATATATATTAGATATGTATATATATTAGATATATATGTATATATATTAGATATCTGAGACTTCCCAGCTTATTTCTATGAAATTTAGTCATGTTTTAAACTGAGTTTCCCATCTAGGCACTGTCTATACCATACACTTAATTTTTTTTTTAATATTTATTTCTTAGTTTTTGGCGGACACAACATCTTTGTTTGTATGTGGTGCTGAGGATCGAACCCGGGCCGCACGCATGCCAGGCGAGCGCGCTACCGCTTGAGCCACATCCCCAGCCCCCATACACTTAAAATACATGTAGGGAACCTGGTTCTATACAGATGAACCTCATTTAAATGTGAGTGTTTTGATACCCTGTACAGTTCAGGTGCAACTATACGGGTATGTATGTATACCTGTGAATCCTCCAAGTGGCTTTCTGAATATTCATCTTCAGCAGCACAAGTGATATTTGACATCTCTAAATATATCTTTGCAGATATTGATAACAGTGGGTATGTTAGTGACTATGAACTTCAGGACCTATTTAAGGAAGCAAGCCTTCCTCTTCCTGGCTACAAGGTACGCGAGATTGTGGAGAAAATTCTAGCAGTTACTGACAACAACAAAGATGGCAAAATCACTTTTGAAGAGTTTGTGTCAGTAAGTAATCTAATTCTTTCCTAGTTACTATTCATTTTACTTCAAGYAGAATTTTAATAATGTCATTGCTAGCTTTAGTTAGATCTAGCATAGAGGCCAGAAAACCTAACATTTTTAAATGATGGTAACACTACTAATAATTATTATTGTAAAAATAATTTTCATAAAAAATTCAAAAAGCAAAGGAAAAGGGGCTGGGGCTGTAGCTTGGTAGTAGAGCACTTGATTACCATGTGTGAGGCACTGGGTTCAATTCTCAGCACGGTGCATAAATAAAATGAAGGTCTGTCAACAACTAAAAAAAAAAAAAAAAGGAAAATATCATTGAATGGAAGTCAGGTTTAGTAGTAGTTCATGTCCTACAATAACTATATTGAATTATTTTTTATTATCCATGAATATAATTGAATAAATACTTATGAAATATAATGATCTGTTTTTGCATTCCTCATTTGAGCTCTTGGCACTGTGAATAATGGGATGAGCAAAAAGAGACATGGTCCTTGCTTTCATGGAGTTTACATGTGGTTGGGAATGCAGAATATCACATAACTAGATAAATGATATCAACTATGATAATTGCTATGAACAGTGTGGTGCATTTTCCATGAGAGTTTGTAAGTAGAAGGAATTGAACTTTGAGGGGAGGCTGGAAAACTCAGGGTCTCAGGAAAGGTATCCCTGTGAAGACCCAGCTGAGATCTGAAGAAAGATGTTAAATAGAAAAAGGCTGTTGGGAGGTAGAGGTGACCACATGTGCACAGGCTCTGTGGTTACTCTTAAGCAATTGAAAAAAGGGATAGTATGCTGCAGCTGAGGTAGTATGGATAAGGATCATAGTTGGAAAACTCAGATCAGGTCATGACAGCTCTTAATATATCCTGGCAGATATTGATAACAGTGGGTATGTTAGTGACTATGAACTTCAGGATCTATTTAAGGAAACAAAACGTCCTTGTAGGATATTGGTTTTTATCCTAACAACAGGAAATTAAGGGAAGGAAGAGTATGAGGTGACATGATTAGATTTGCATTAACAACAGCAAATCACTGGCTGCTACATGGAGAAATGTCAGCCTCTTCAATCTCTGAATTGTCCAATAAGAGAGATGAAGAGAGGGTGTTTCTATAAGCCTGTTATTTCCTGCAATAGCTGACATGTTTACTTTAACATGTATTCATTTGGATTATTTAGGTAGGAAAATGCCTTCATTAAGGAATTTAAAAATATTTATCATRTGGTTAGTTATTCCTTAGATTTTCAGTACAAAAGATCATGGCAAATCCAGAAGAATCATTTCGGTGTGTTCAATTTAAGCTTAGTTTTGACTTGTTCCAGTGGTTGGCAGGGGGACAGACATTTATTCATTTTTTGATTTTGATAAAATGACATGAAAATTCTCTTTGTTCACAAGCATTCAATATGAAAATACTTGATTCATATTTATTTTTGTGTCATTTCAAATAAACATCTTTTATTTCACCAGATTTTTATGATTATCTGATTCTCAATTTTGCTTGTATTCCATTCTAGCTAATGCAAGAGTTAAAAAGCAAAGATATCAGCAAAACATTCCGAAAAATAATTAACAAGCGGGAAGGGATTACTGCTATTGGGGGAACTTCATCCATTTCCAGCGAGGGCACACAGCATTCTTACTCAGGTAACAACCACCCCAAATCTGATCTTTTAGGCATTGATTCAGTAAGTGCCACACTTCAACAAAACTAAGATGCCATTTGTTGTAATTCATACCATTATTTTGTCTATCATTGAGGGGAAAAACCTTCCTCCAGACTAAATTATGCTGTGATTTCAAATTTAAAATATATCTCAATGTCAAAATGAAAATATCCTAGAATCACTGATATCAACGAATTCCAACCATGTTGTCAGGTTCAGTGGACATCAGAGAGACAACAGACATCAAAAACAACAGAATGAAAGTTGTTTATGTTTGAGCACTGGCTATGTTTTATCATGACTTTTGAATGGATTTTTCATCCTGACTAGAAAGGTGGCTTTACTTTTAGAACTTGGTGAGGAATGGTGGAAAGGCTTATTTTAAGGATTTTTTTCCCCCCTTCTATTTTCCAAAAGCTGAGCTTTTTGACTTTTTTTTTTTTTTTAAATCAAGCAACCAAGCGATTAGAGAGCACGGTACTTGATTTCCTTGATCTGATAGAACCACTGGATTGTTGCCCAGTGGGAAATCCAGAGTCATTTTAACTCTTACGGTGAGGAGTCTTGGCCCATGTTAAGCTTACTTCTCAGGGTTAAGATGTCTAAGAACCCTTGGCCAAGTTCCTTTTTATTCATATGAACATAATTAGAACTATGCTTTTGATAAAATTCCTTGTAACATTTTTCCTTTGAATAAAGGAATTTGTTAATTGTCCTCTTGATCCTCTTCCTTTCTAATTGGATTTTCCTCTTTCAGATTCCGCCTATACATTGTATTTTTTCTTAGCCATTTCCCACTAGGGAATTAGTGGTAAAGGAATTAGTCTGTAACTGATACCTCCACTTTTGTTGTTTCTTTGTTTTGTGGCACAGGGGATTGAACTCAGGGCCTAGCACATGCCTACTAGTACTTAGCTGTACCCACTGTCCTTTTAATTTTGTTTTGAGATAGGATCTTATTAAATTGCCCAGGCTGGCCTTGAACTTGTGATCCTCCTGCCTCAGCCTCCTGAATAGTGGGATTATAGTGCACTACCATGCCAGAAAGATATTAACCTTTTACCTCAACTTTGGCTTGTCCATTCTACTGAAATGACTATATTTTAAAAAGAAAACAAAAAACATTGAGGTAAAATATGCATTCAGCCAAGTGCTATAATTGTAAATACATAGCTCAAAAATGTTTTACATGTGCATATATCCATGTGGCTTCCTGCCAGATCATTATATGGAATATTTCCATCATCCTGTGTGGCTTTCTCATGCCCCTAATAGTAGCTATTTCTCCCCAGAGATAAATACTTCTCTGATATCTGTCACCACAGATTTTTACCTGTTTATTGAGATATAAATAGTAAAGTGCATAAAGTAGACTTTTCTTAACTTGATGATTTTAAAAAAAATTTTTTAGTTGTACACAGATATAATACCTTTATTTTGTTTATTTATTTTTATGTGGTGCTGAGGATTGAACTCAGTGCCTCACATGTGCAAGGCAAGTGCTCTACCACTGAACTGCAACCCCAGCCCAACTTGATGACTTTTAACAGATGAATACCTCCACCTATTATGTAGAAAAAGATACAGAACATATAATGGCTTTTAAAAAAACAGCTTTAATGAGATATAATGGTGATATTGAGAAATGCACCCTTTTAAATTATATAATTCAGAGTTTTTAGTATATTCAGAGTTGCACAATTATCATCATACTTCATTTAAAAATATTTTCATTACAGAGGGATAAACCCCAAGATCCTCAGCAGTTGTTCCTCATTTCCCCCTCTCTGAAGCCTCTGCAACCATCACCCCACTTTGTGTTCCTATAGATTTGCCTATTCTGGAAGTTTCATATAAATAGAATTATTGCAGTGGCCTTTCCATTGATAGGCATTTATTCACTACCATTTTTCAAGGTTCATCTATGTTATAGCATATATCATACTTCATTCCTTTTTACTGCTGAACATTCCATTCTGAGGATAATATCACATTTTGTTCATCCTCTCATGAGTTTATAGACATTTGGATCGTTCTCAGTTTTTGACCATTATGAATAATGCTGTGTGAACACTCATGTATGTGTTTTTTTTGTGTGTGGATATGTGCTTTCAGTTCTCCTAAGTATCTGCCTAGGAGTGGAATTGTGGATCTTTTGATATCTCTGTTTAATATTTTTAATTTAAAGAATTGGCAAACTGTTTTTCAAAGTCGCTGTACTGTTTTCCATTTCCTCCAGTCACATATGAGGTTTCTAGTTTTTCACATCTGTATCAACACTTGTTATTGTCCATTTAAAAAAATTACAGCCATCTTAGCAGGGCCCAGTGGTGAAGGCCTATAATTTTAGCACTTTAGGTGGCTGAGTCAGGATAACAAGTTTGAGGCCAGCCTTGGCAACTTAGCAAGACCCCTATCTGAAAGTAAACAATGAAAAAGAGCTGAGGATGTTGCTCAGTTATAAACTGTCCCCTCTATGGCAAAAATAAAACAAAAGCCATTGCAGTGTGTCATTTCTTATTCCTCTACCTGGAACATTTTCCCTTTTTCTGCCCATTTTTACCTGCTGATAGCCTTCCTTTCAAATAGTGCCTTTGTTTTGTTGCTGTTTGTTTTGAGATGATCTCACTGCCCAGGCTGGTCTCTTACCTCAGTTTCCTGGAGAGTGGAGGCTACAGGCAAGCGCCTTGCACGCAGCTCTGTAAATCTTTATTGATCAATACAAACACAAGTGATTATTTCCTTCTTCAAACTTTTAAAACATTGCATGTATATGTGGTGTATATATTTCCCTTATGTGTCATTTCTTTGGATATTTGTTTTATCATTACACTATAATCTCTTTATGGTAGGTATAGTATCTTAGTGATCTTTAAATCCCTAGACTCTTGAGTTCTTCTAAGGAGATACTCATGGTGGGATAAGTAGATAAGAAGGCACATGAGGATATGTACAAAGGAGAAATACTGATGATTTTTTATGTTTTTACTGACTGTATAGATGGTGGATTAAATTTTGAGGGTACCTGCCAGATATACCCTTAGGAAAATTACCTAATTCTGCTAACTCTGATGGAAAGATAGATTAATCACTTTGAGGATTTATATTGTTAAATAATTTTATATTTACAGAATAATAATAAAGCTGTAGAACATTTTTATTTCAAGTTCCTTCCTATTTTCCTTATTAAATAGCACAACAACACTTTCTGAAGATTAATGTACCCATACTATAAGCCATGTATTGAGAAGTCAATGATGAAGATGACTAAGAGAGTGCTGGTATCTAGATTTGTGACAATTTTCTTATGGTAAAGATTTCACAGAAATGGAGTTGTTTTATTCATTTGAATAATCTCCTGTCCTCTCCTTCCATTTTGTGGTGCTGGGGATCCAACCCAGGGCCTTACTCATGCTAAACAAGAGCTCTACAACTGAACTACATCTCCAGCACTAAACAAATCTTGATTGAATTCAGTATTTATTTTGTAAGCCAAAAATCTTTTTAGGGGGTGGAATTTATTATAATGGATCTTTGTGGGTTTTTCCCCCTCTTTAAGTATCTATCTGTGTCTATATCTGTATTTGACCTCTGATGTTTCGCTGCTGATTCATTAGGTTTCAGAAGCAATACATATTTGGAAAGATTTGAGAATCAAATCAAATGTCGTGCTCTTTTAAAATATATACCTTCCTACCTTTGGCGCTAATATTTTAGATGAAAAAGCAGAATGAATTTCCCTTTATCCCTTTCTTCAACATTTAGTGTTTTAGTAGAATTTTATTAATAGTCATCTGATATCTTTAAACATAAATTAAAAAGTATGTTTTTGTAGTGTTTGATAAACTTTGTAAAATGTGCTTTGCCTATCAAAATTTTTTGTTTCCAGAGGAAGAAAAAGTGGCTTTTGTTAATTGGATAAACAAAGCCCTAGAGAATGACCCTGACTGTAAGCATCTTATACCTATGAATCCCAACGATGACAGCCTTTTCACATCTCTTGCAGATGGCATCCTTCTCTGGTGAGTCGAACGTCTAGTTACAGGAGATTGTTCTTAACTGTCCCTCTTGATGAGCATTCCTTGACAACTACAATTCAGCAAATCTGTGTTCTTTTGGAATTAGTGGGTACTTGCAGGTCTTGTAGGATTTGTACTGCATAGAAAATTAAGTACTATATGTTTTCTGACATTTTCCATGCAGTCCCTTATTTTCCTGTTATCATAGTAATCCAGGAAAGTTTTGAGTTGATACTTAGATGCATTTTAAAATGTTTACATTGTCACAATTTTTTTTCCTGATAAGGGAGTATTGACTATTCACTGGGACAGGAAGATGATCAGATGTAAAAGGAAGGTACATTTTAGTTGTATATAAATGAAAATAATGTTTTAAATTGATCTTGGATCTTTAGTCTATTCTGTTCATATACCATAAACTTTCTAAGTGTGTTTTGTATTCCCAGCATACTTCTTTATACAAAGTTTTTTTTTAACTCTATGAAAATACCAAGAACTTCCAAAGAAGCAAATAGCCATCAGAAATATTCTTACCACCCATTGTTAACAATTATTAACAATTTCTTTAGTTTTTTCTATATATTTACTTTAAAAAAACAACTTCTGTCCATAAGTATGAGTTATTAATGTTTAGGTCATTATGTGAAATATATACCTCAATCTCTGCCTGCAATTCTGATCTCTTCCTCTGGCCTTTGGAGAATTTCCTAGTGTAAATTAAATAKATTCTAAAAGAAACAGACAACACTCATATTATTTCTTTAAAGATGTCTGAATTGTTGAAGTCCTAGAAAGACAAAGTTCCTGGCTCCTTATCTTTCTGCAATAACAGTAATTTTAACAATTTTGATACCATTTCATGGAGCACTTGGCTTCTTGAGAATTTGTTTACATGAAATATTGATCATTGGGCTGGGGATGTGGCTCAAGTGGTAGCGCGCTCGCCTGGCATGCGTGTGGCCCGGGTTCGATCCTCAGCACCACATACCAACAAAGGTGTTGTGTCCGCCGAGAACTAAAAAATAAATATTAAAAATTCTCTCTCTCTCTCTCTCTCTCTCTTTAAAAAAAAAAAAAAAGAAATATTGATCATTAAGTAAAATAAAGAGTCACAAAAAGAAAATGCAAGATGGTTAAAATAATTGGGAGTAAATGCTAAGATTACTGCAATTATATATTTTAAGATAGGAAATATTTCTTAGATTTTAAAAACTGATATGATTATAAACAGTTTAAAGAAATTAACTATTATCTTCAAAATTTATTATGGTTACTTACAAAATTAAAAAAATTTCTGGAATTTTAAACTAAATTATTCTTTTTTCTTTAGCAAAATGATCAACTTATCTGAACCAGATACAATTGATGAAAGAGCCATTAATAAGAAAAAGCTCACTCCTTTTACTGTTTCTGTAAGTATTTGTCCTTTGCTAGTAATATGTTACTATCGTATAAACTACGTATAAACTATAAGGTTTTTATTAATGGATAATTGGGCCATGGTAAAACTTTTGATTTAATATAATTGTTTTCTTATAAAAACTTGGTTTTTATTAAATAAAAACTCAGCTGCATTTGGTAATAAGTAGAATTAAGATTCTAAGTACTTCAGGGCCAAGGTTGTAGCTCAGTGGTAGAGTGGCACTTGTGAGGCCCTGGGTTTGATCCTCAACACTACATGAAGATAAATAAATAAAAAATAAAGGTATTATGTCTATCTACAACTAAAAAAAAAAAGATTATAAGTATTTCAGGTAACTGTCTTTAAGTTACTTTAAGTTAATAGTATTCAACTTATGTTATTGTAATAATGAAGTTGTTAATGATTACTTGATACTATTTTTTTCTTTTTTTTTCCCCTGTGGTTCTGGAGCTTGAACCCATGGCCTCGTGCGTGCTAGGCAAGCCCTTTGCCACTGAGGTACACCCCAAGCCCTGATGCCAGAGATCTTGTTGGCTGGTTGTAAAAACAGCACTGCAAAGTTTTAGCATATCACACAATTTTTATTCTTTTTGTGCTAGATTCTTCTGTACTCAGCTTTTCTATACAGATCTTATTGAAATCCAGAAATTTATAATTTTTCCCTCAAAATGTCTACATAAATGGGTGGATATTAAAATTTACTGAGTACTTACTAGGTACCAGTTGTTATTCTAAACACACCATGTGAATTATCCCATTTACTCCTTCCTGTAACCTTATAGTAGACATGTACATGAATTTGTTGATGAGATAACGGTCACTGACAGGCACACTGTGGCAGAGCCAAGGTATGATCCTAGTGGTCTCCAGAGCTCTTCCTCTTAATCATCATGCTGTACTGCCACTCTTATGTGGTGGTAGCAATAGCAACTATTTAATGTGTGGTCACAACAAAATTATTAAAATTGAATTATTGCTAATCGGTTTCTTCACTTGGCAAGTACAAAACTTGATTTTGCTCAAATTGTTAGATTTCTTCTTTTGGAAGCTAGGACCTCAGATCAGTGGTACATAGTTAGTCTTAGACTATTCAAGGGGTTCCCTCTTCCTGTTATTCTTGAGAAGTATAAAACTAGATGTTGACTACATGGCTTTATTGATTTCTCACTTGCCAGTAGGCCAATAATGTTGCATATCTCTAGTAAAAACTACCATTTTTAAAGAAGCCCATTTCTAATTGCAGTTGCCAGATCCTCTTGTGCTAGAATCTTCTCTTCAGCTAATAGCTGTGATTATTGAAAATATTCATATCCATCTTATTTTTAGAATACATGTGTCACATAAATTTTTATGGCACTGAATATGAAGTACAACATGTACAATATGAAATACAATATGAATATGAAGTACAACATTTCTTACTTTTTTATAAACTTAATTTGGTTTTAATTTTAATACATGTATGCAGTGCATTGAAAAAACAAAGAAAAATATTCTGTAAATATTTTGCAGTAGCTACAGAATGGATCTGAGGGGTTAAGTATTGTTCCTTTATTTTTAGAGATTGAATTCTTTTGGTAGCCTAAGCTTTTACAATGCTTGAAAGAGAGTACTAATATAGAATGAAAAAAGACTGAGATTTTGAGAAGGGGAAAGTGTTACCATGGATATTAACTCTGTCTTGTTTGTTCAGGATTTCAGAACTCAGGGAATAATAGATTTGCTATAAAATTACTAGTTTCACATGGAATTTTATCCCAAAGAAGCCTAATTCATTTGTTGAAGATTGTAAGATTGTGTTAATAATGTTTTTCACTTTTTGATGGTAGATATATATGTGATATATATATATATATATGTGATACATGAAAGAAGAAAAAGATAAGGAAAGGGTGAAGTAATGCATAGTAGTTATGAAAGCAGGGAAAAGGGCAGATCAGGTAAAGAAGAGGACTTGTAATCTTGGAGACTTTCTCACCTTTTTTCTCTACCCAGAGTACTACTGAACTGCATTCTTGTGCTTGTATATCCTTATTGGGAACAATTAATTATGTGGATAAGACTCTCCAAAACAAAAGATAGTGATTTCAGGATCCAGAAAATCAGGAAACCAACACAAGACTAGCTATAGGAAGTTGAATCTGTTCGTTACCAAATGAAAAAGAAAGAAAGAAGAAAAGTTCAATTCAATGAATATACTCACATACATACTAAGTACATATGTTTGTACATTGTATACAAATGTACATATATATATGACCTTAATTTTATCTTGCATGCATTACAGTTTAAACAGGAAAAAAACATTATAATTCTCATTTGGATATTCCTAATGGAGTAGAAGTTATGTGATATAAAAATAAGGATGAAGTCTAAATAACAAGTCATGCCTTCTTTCTTATTAACTGAATAAGTATATAGCACAGCCCTCTAAATAGGGGCTGGAATTGTGACTCAGTGGTAGAGTGCTTGCCTAGCACATGTGAGGCACTGGGTTCGATCTTAGTACAACATAAAAATAAATAAAAGCATTGTGTCCATATACAACTAAAACTTAAAAAAAATCATTAACAAAAGTGTATACATTTTGGAGATTCTTTGGAAAATTGGGAATGAAACCAGCTTTTGACCCAGTTATCCCCCTCTACGGTCTATACCCAAAGGACTTAAAACGGCATACTACAGGGACACAGCCACATCAATGTTTATTGTGGCACAATTCACAACAGCTGATCTGTGGAACCAATCTAGATGCCCTTCAATAGATGAATGTATAAAGAAAATTTGGTATATATACACAATGGAGTATTACTCAGCAATAAAAAGAGAATAAAATCATGGCATTAGYAGGTAAATGGATGGAATTGGAAAATATCATGTTAAGTGAAGTAAGCCAATCCCCCCAAACCAAAGGCTGAATGTTTTCTCTAATATAAGGAGGTTGATTCATAGTGGGGTTGGGAGGGGGAGCAAGTGAAGATTAGATGAACTCTAGATAGGGCAAAGGGGTGGGAGGAGAAAGAAGGGAGCATGAGGGTAAAAAAGATGGTGGAATGTGATGGACATCATTACCCTAAGTTCGTGTATGAAAACATGAATGGTGTAAATATACTTTGTATACAACAAGAAAAAAAGTATATACATTTGAAATTGAAACTTTATGGAAAAGGAAATTTGCAAAGTGGTATGAAGTTAAAAAAACTTATAGTACATTTTTGAGACTGTTAGTGAAGACTTGGATAGTTAAAGTAATCAAAATAAAAGGGATATGGGCCAAGGTTGTAACTCAGTGGTGGAGTACTTGCCTAGCATGTGTGAGGCACTAGGTTCGATTCTTAGCATCACATATAAATAAGTAAAAATAAAGTTCTATGAACAACTAAAAATTTTGTCTAAAAAAATAGAAGGGGTATAAAAAAATAAAAAAAAATAGAAGGGGCATATAAGAAGTCATCTAAAAGAACAGTGTGAATTTTTCTACCTGGTAAAGTGGGCAGTTTCTTTGTCAGTTTACTATTGCACAGAAAATATGGGAGAAAATGGATGGTAATCCAGATAAACTGCCATGTTTCCTTGTTTCTTTTGTTAGTATTCCTGTTACATGTTAGGACACAAACACAGGGAGGAACACCTCTCTTGTATCCCATTTGTTTGTGGTTTCCCACTGTCCTTACCCAGAAAAAAGTTTGGGTACTCAGGGAAGTTGTCCATGGTAAGGTTTGGAGAGCAACCTCTTCATGAAGTTCTCCTGTTCTTGTTTTTTTAGATGTTTAGAAGTGGCTTTAGACAATAGTAGCTCTCCTATTCCCTACTAACAGTAGGGCAGTAAATTTTTATTTACCAGATAGAAACTACTGTTTATTTGAAAGACACACATTGCAACTTTTAAAATTTTTCTTTGTATTAATTACTTGTAAGACACATTATATACTTGTGTGCAGAGCCAATGTTTAAAAAAACACTACCAAAAAATGATTCCCTCTTATATCCCCAACACACTACAGTAAGAGAAAAACACCACCTGCAAAACTTTAGCTATGTCTTGGAGCCGGGAAGGTGAGGGAAGTATTTGGGAATTGGAATTGTGATTTAAGGTGAGTTTTTCCTATGTGAGGGAAGTGGCGAGAGGAGCTGGATTCAGGTTGTGTCAGCAACTCTATATAACAATCCAAGACTGGTAAGTAGAGTGACACAGGGAAGTTTTCAAGGTGAGGAATGAAAGAATATTAGGGTATATGTTGTCCACTAATGTTTTTCATTGGAAGGCTAATGGGTCTTTTAGGCAAAGCCTGCAATGAGCAATCAAATCTTTTGTCTTGGTTCAAGATTCCTGGAAGAATAACATTATGCTCATGAAGACAGAGGAACAGTAAAGTCAGTAAAGACAATGGAAATAGCTTACAAAGCCATATTAATGTAGATAAAGTTTGGTTTTGGTTGTCGGTGTCCAAGTTGAGAATAGTGGTCAAAAGTTTTGGTTTTTTACAATCAGCTTGGTGAAGTTACATACTTTTTTTGAATCCGTTTCATATTGTTAAGGCATATGAATTGAGTTATTCTAAGATAGACTGAAATGATTCCAGTTATAGTCAATTTCTTCCCCCTGTTGATGCATTCTGGGGAATCACAAGTGGAGCAAACATCCTTTGTTCTCTGGAGAGAAGAGAGGTCAAGCCTAAATTTGTAGAAGCTATGACATGAAAGTTGTATTGATTTGATCTAAGGTAACTTAAAAACATCTGAAGCTATTAAAAATCTTCTAAGACTTCCATAGAATATTTTAACTTTACTCAGTGTTTTCATATTTATTTACTTATGAAATTATAAAGTTGTTGAGGGATTCTCTGGTTCTGCTGCTTTCTGATGAACTATATTTAAAAGAACATTGCCACAAAAATAATTCCAAATGCTTCCTTTAATTACTCCTCACTGATCCCCAAGAGATAATGCCATTTACTCAGAGCCTAGCAAGATAAATTGCTTTAGTATATGTCATGAGAAAGCCACTGAAATATTTACTGTGCTTTGAAGACTCTATGCATAGTTGCTTTTGTTACCAGCACATTAAAAAGTTGCTATTGCTATCACCACAGCACAGTGATTAAGAGGAAGGGCTCTGGAGACCACCTGGCTCATACCCAGGCTCCACCACTGTGCCTCGGTTTACTCACCTGTAAAATCCATCTTTAGAGTTACTTTAAAATTTTTCTGGGAATGAAAACTAATTGCACATCATTTTTAAAAGAAGTGCTTTCAAATGGAGACTTTATTAGTGTTGGGTAATGATTTTTACTTTTATAAACTGAGAATAATAAAATTTCTAAAGCAATATGCCATTAACTATATTTAAACAGTGAAATTTTATATGAGTATGTTAATAGCTTCCTTCTTTTCACATATTTACAACTTAACTATGATATAGGGAAAGGAGTGACTAATTTCGTGTGGAAGAGGTTGTAGGGAAAGAAAATGCTTGAGGTGAGGAATGAGCATGCGACTTGAGGAAATGAAACATCATAGGTCAAAGGACTTTGTGTCTTGGCCAAACCATAGACTGTTTGAAATACAGGGAGATGAGGCCAGAGTGAAGTCCTAAAAGTTTTTGATTTCCCCCATTAAGGATTCAAACATGAATCTTTTCTTTCCCTCCATACCTTCTTTAACTCTTACCCATTCATTCATGTATTCAGTAAATGTTTGCTGAGCAGATAAAATGTGCCTCAGTACTAGAAAACACATCAAACAGATCAAAGTGCCTGTTGTTATAGAGTCCATACTCTTAGTTGGGAGAGATATAGCAAGAAACAAATATATGTCAGAAAAGGAGTAAAATAGGGGTAACTAGTACCAGCAGGGGCAGTGATGACGCTGTTGATTAGATCTGTGATGATCAGAGACCTCACAGGTTATATGCATTTGAGCAGAGTTTTAAAGCAACTTTGTATATTTGGGGGAAGCATGTTCCAAGCAAAGGCACAGCAAGTTCAGAGTATCTGTATAACCAGAACAAAGTAAGAGGAGACAGTGGTAGTAACAGGGGACATATGAAGGATTTCAAAGCTGGGGACACTATCAGCTTTATATTTTACTATAATCACTGAAAGCAGGACATTGTGGAGGATGGGTTGGAGAGAGTAAGTCTGTGGATGGTCTTTAGAAGTTAGGAAATTGTTAAAGAAAGGCACTGACAGTTTTCAGAGGTATTTGGAAAGTGGAATTGACAGAAACAGGTGATTGGTCATGGGAGGCGAGGAAGCACAAGGATTCTCTTAGATTTCTGACTTAGGAGAAAAGAGGAAAGAATGAAAATTGGTCCAATAATCCAAGACAGAAAATAAAGAAGGAAAAACAGGTTTTAACAGGGATGAAAGGAAGATCAGCAAAGCATGGTGAGAAAATTTGCTTATTTTGGACTTGCTGGATTTAAGGTCCTTGAAGAACAGCCAGGTAGGTATAAGTGTGTTTACAGGGTAGGACTTAGAGTGGGATCTTAGAGGAGTTATGGCCTAAGGATTCATATTTGAACTAATTGGTACATAAAGATGATAGTTAAAACCATGAGATTTTTAATAGTAGTAATTTAGTTGTATAAATATTACTTTATGTTTAAAATCTGAAATTCATGCGATCCATTATTTTTTGATTGGGGGAGGTGCAGTCTTGTGGGACTGACCCCTTTTTTGTTTGGTTTTTAGACATAATGACAGTAGAGTGTAGTTTGACATTATACATATATATATAGTATAACTTAGACTAATTAGAATCCCATTCTTGTGGTTGTACATGATGTGGAGTTACACTGGTCATATATTCATATATGAATATAGGAAAGCTATGTCTGATTCATTCTACTGTCTTTCCTATTCCCACTCCCCTCCCTTGCCTTCATTCTTCTTTGTCTAAGCCAATGAACTTCTGTTCTTCCTCTCCCCACCCTTCCTTGTTGTGCGTTAGCATCCACATATCAGAATATCCAGCCTTTGGTATTTTGGGGACTGGCTTATTTCACTTAGCATGTTATTCTCTAGTTCCATCTATTTACCAGCTAATACAATAATTTCATTCTTCTTTATGGCTGAGTAATACTCCATTGTGTAAATATACCACATTTTCTTTATCCATTCAGCTGTTGTAGGGCACCTAGGTTGGTTCCATAGCTTGGATATTGTCAATTGAATTGCTATAAACATTGATGTGGCTGTGTTACTTTAGTATGCTAATTTTAAGTCCTTTGGGTAAAAACTGGTTAGTGAGATAACTGGGTCGAATGGTGGTTCCATTCCAAGTTTTCTAAGGAATCTCCATACTGCTTTCCATAGTGGTTGCACCAGTTTGCTGTCCCACTGGTATGTACAAGTGCACCTTTCTGCAACATCCTCGCCAACATTTATTGTTACTTGTATTCTTGATAATTGCCATTCTGACTGGAGTGAGAATCCACTATTTCTTGCAAATAACCTGTAGACAGGAACTTAGAAAGTACTTCCTCATTTGTAATTTTTTTTTTTTTGATGATTCAGGAAAATCTAAACCTAGCCCTGAATTCTGCTTCAGCCATTGGTTGTACAGTGGTCAACATTGGTGCACAGGACCTCAAAGAAGGAAAACCTCACTTGGTTTTGGGACTTCTCTGGCAGATCATCAAAGTTGGTCTTTTTGCTGATATTGAGATTTCCAGGAATGAAGGTGAGATCTTCAAAAATGTTCACTTTTCGTTGACACAAACCACGTTCAGAAGAATTTACATTTTTTTGTTTTCATCCCAGCTTTGATTGCATTGCTGAATGAAGGTGAAGAACTGGAGGAGCTGATGAAGCTTTCTCCAGAGGAGTTACTTCTACGGTGGGTAAACTACCACCTCACCAATGCAGGATGGCGCACTATCAGCAACTTCAGCCAAGACATCAAGGTTTTCATTTTAATGTTCATATTAGTCACATGAACCAAGGATGTGGAATGTAAAGTATTTAAAAATAGTTTTTTAAATTATATTCACAAAAATCCCAATTATATACATAGACTTTTTAAAAATTAACTGACGTATTGATTTTTCATAAGTATTATAATTGATGGTGAGAGGAAGGAGGAGCTAGCCTCAACAGATTAAAACAGTCTTTACTATTTTATTTGTCACATTTCTGCTAAATTATAATGAGGGGGCTGGGTTGTGGCTCAGTGGTAGAATGCTTGCCCAGCATGTGTGAGGCACTGGGTTTGATCCCCAATCCCCAGTGCCACATTAAAACAAACAAACAAACAAACAAAAAACCTAAATAACCAAATTAAGGTATTATGTCCATCTACAACTAAAAATATATATATATTTTTAAATTAAGTGAGCCCATTAATTTGGACTGAGAATGACATCTGTTGGCTCAACTGGAGGCCTGTGGGTCTCACTAGTTCAACACTCTTTCATTTTGCCTGTAATCATCTAACAGGAAACTAAATTGTGTGAGGGCTCAGGGAATCAGGAGGCAAAGGAAATCTTAAGGTATGTCTCTGGACCAGAGAAGCTTAAAACACTTCCCTCTATCCTGGGAGAGCCTTATCAGGGAAAATTTAACACTCATTTCTGCCTAACATACTATGGTCACTGCTAGGATAGGTATTGCCAGAGGAATCTGGAAAAAAAAAATTAGAGTAGTGCTGTATTTAATTTATATGCCCTCTTTAGGTGTATTAACACCTTATGTTTTTGCTGTAATGGTCTAGATGACAATCTTTCAAGTGACATTTTTTACTTTGAACTCTTATGTGTTCATTCAGTTTATTTGGGGGGTTTCTCTTATTCTGGATCCCTTTAAAACTCAGTTCAGCTCAGGTCATTCAGACAGCAAGCCCCTCCTGCTGGGCATTATGCCAGGAGTAAGCAATGCAAAGACTCAAGTCTGAAAGAAGCTTACAATTTCACAGGGAGGCAAATGTCTAGTAAGGATGTTTCATTTATCTTTTCGTATACAGCAAACCATATAAAATTTGCTGGCTTAAAATAATGATTTATTATTTCTCATAATTTTATCAGTTGATGCATCTTGGCTGGGTGGTTCTTCTCCTTCACATACTTTTTTCCTGGGATCTCTGGGTATATTCAGCTATCATTTGGGTGCATCTGGAAGGTGTACAAGAAAGGTTACATGTCTAGTGCCTCAGTGCTCCTCCACCAAGCCTCTCCATGTGGCTATCTTGGGTTTCCACTGCATAGCATGATAGCCTCAAATAGGTGGACTTCTTATGTAGAAGTTAACTTCTAAAGGGAGGAATCAGAGGCTCTTTTAAGATTTGGGTTTGGAAGGTCCAGAATATCACTTTCACAGCATTCTTTTGGTCAGAGTGAGTCAGAAGGCCAGTTCAAATTAAAGGGAAAGAGAAATAGCCTTTGCTTTTTGATGGGCAGAGCTACATGCATGTGGAATTATGGTAACTGTCTTTGGAGACTTCATGGGATGATTTAATACAATGTGGCCACAGTTTATTTAAAGAGATGGCCAATGGGTGCTATGTAATATAGGGAAGGGTACTTAATTCATTTATAGAGACATCAGGGAAGCCTTCCAGAATATATTTGACCTGAATCTTAATGGATCCTGATGCTTGGGGTTGTAAACAAATGTAAATGGTGGGGTGAGGGGCTTTCAGGTACCCAGAACCACATTGCTGGAAGCTTGGAAGCATAAACTATCATGATGCATGTAGGAACTCATAAGTAATTCTGTTATTATAGTCACTGAGTTGTTTGTTGTTTTACTTTTTGCAATGGGAACAATTTTCTCAGTTTGAACACTTTTTTCTCTAAATGAATGATGATTTTATTCATTTAAAAAATACTATTTTTTTTTCTTTCCTTAAAGGATTCAAGAGCATATTTTCATCTGCTTAATCAGATTGCCCCTAAAGGTGACCGAGAAAATGGAACTGCCATTGCCATTGACCTTTCAGGATTTAATGTGAGCAGTTTAAATTTTCCTTCCTTCCTTCCTTCCTTCCTTCCTTCCTTCCTTCCTTCCTTCCTTCCTTCCTTCCTTCTTTCTTTCTTTCGTATATTGTAGTAAAATTATATGTAACATAAAATTTACCAATTTTACCATTTTTGAGTATGCAGTTCAAGTGAAATTCATTATATTCACACTGTTGTGCAACTATTACCACTATCTCTCTAGAATTTTTTCATCATTCCATAGTAAAGTTCTGTACCCATTCAACAATAACTCCTCATTTCCCCCTCCCTCAACTCCTGGTAAGAGTTCTGTTCTGCTTTCTGACTGTCAATTCGATGAGTAATTATATTCAAATTTAGAGTATAATACTCTACAGGCAGCATTCCTTGGTGGCGTTCTCTGCCCTTCTTTGAAGTTTGACCCTTTGCTCTTCAGAAGTATTTTTCCACGTCCTAGGCTCCAGTCTACAGTGCTGAGCCATCTGCCTGTGCCACTGAAGAAAAGGAATTGCAAAATTCTAACCTTGAGTATGTGTCAAATCAACCTTATATCGAAGTTTCCTTGGTGCAGTGCAACTGAATGTGTTGATTCTGTGACTGTCAATGTGTGTCAGGAAAGGAAGTAAGAAGCTGTTATTAGATTGCTAAGCTACTGATTATCAGTTCCACAGTTTACTTTTGGAAATACACAGAATAAAACATGGCAATTCCTTGTATTTATGATATAGGACTGATATAGATCCTGAACCACCAAACATACTTCTAGCAAGTTTATTCTTTAAGCATAAATTATAAATACTTGGGGTGGTTCTATATAAACATGAAAATATGGTCAGACTATGGCGTGTATGAAAACGTATTGAATATTTAAAGTGTAGTTATCCTTAATATTTAGTTTTAAATATAGCAGAAAGTTAGTATTGTAAAACTGTGTGAAGTTTGTAAATTACTTTGAGTCAAAAATCAGAATCTTAAAAAACTTAGGGAATATTTAAAATTTATTATAAAAAAATAGACTTAGTATATTAAATGACCATATGCTCATCTACTAGGTAAACATTTATCAGCTCATGATAAATTTATTTATTTAATTTATTCCCAATTTACCTCCTTCCTATATTATTTTGAATCAAATTCTAGATATTATATCATTTCATAAACATTTCAATATGTATTTGTAGAAGATACTTTTTTAGTATGACCACAACACTTTATCCCTAAAAAATTAATAATAATCTATAACATCACCTAGTTATTGTTGACATCTCTAATTAATTTGAAAATGTCAAATTTTCCTTTTGTGGTTCATTTGAATTACAATCCAAATAAGATCCACATATTGCGATCTATTGATATCTACCTTTGTAACTTTTATTGTTTAATGGAATTGAATCTATCACTTTCTCATATCATGTACATTTTTACTACTTTAAAACTCTGGTACACAGAATCAGATAGGTTATGATCCTTGGTTATGGTAACTCTCTTGATGGGCCCATACATGGACCTCCTTTCATTTTTAGTTGTGATTGTTTTGAAATTGTTACAAGCCTCATAAACCCTCAATCCAACTTGAAAACTAAGACCTTGATGATAATTTTCATTTAGCCATACAGTTCTTCATCTCTCTGCCTCACCTCAGTTTGGTAACCACCATCTTTAATCTTTATGTTCATTTTTATTTTGCTTCTCTTTTTATGTAGTTTCCTTTCATCAAATGCATTCCTTATTAAATCTTTTATTTTCCTTGACAACTTCATGTAAAGTTTATCATTATACTTAAATTTCTAGTGCTATTTTGAACTTAATGTCTCTGAGTCACTCATTTTGGAGTTAATGAATGAACTGGTATATTCATACAATGATACACCATCATTATGTCATGATATATCATTATATCATGGTGTATCATTGTATGAATATACCAGTTCATTCATCTACTCTCACATTCATGAGCATTTGGCTTGATTTGTTTGTTTCCAGGGTTTGCAAGGTGCTGTTCCTTCTGATTTTAATAGTTTTATATGATTCCAAGCTGTTTTTCATTGAAAAAAGAGTATGGGAAATACCACTCAATGTAGAATGGGTGAGGCAACTAAGCCTGGCACTCTACCAGGTGACGGTGTTGCCTACACTTTAACCAACAGGAGCTTACTGATATAATATTTGAGGGGCTTGTTGAGTATTTCAGCAATGAGTGTTAAATATGACTCAGTGGTCCCAGCAAGAAAACTGAGTGACTTTTTCCTTTTTGATTAGAAAAAGGGGAGGGGGAGTTGAAATATCTATAACTATAAAAATTATGCGAATCAAAAAAAAGGTTTAATCTTAACCATTTTTATTTCCTTGTTTAGGAGAGAAATGACCTGAAGCGTGCTGAATTCATGCTTCAAGAAGCAGATAAACTAGGCTGCAGACAGTTTGTTACTCCTGCTGATGTGGTTTCAGGCAATCCTAAACTTAATTTAGCCTTTGTAGCTAATCTTTTTAACACATATCCATGCCTACACAAACCTGATAATAATGACATCGATATAAATTTATTGGAAGGTATGTTGTTTCTGCCTTTAATTGAAACATTGTATTTCTCTTCTTGTGGTACTGTCTTACTTCGTTGTCAGAGCTAGGGAATTTATTGTAGAAGATGCACTTTATTGTGTGTAGGCATGTGCATCTATTAAAAAGTTCAAATTACAGAAAGTGATTGTTGATTTTGGTTAAAAGAGAATGCTGGGGTAAATTATCTTATTTGTCATTTCTCCATAAGAATTTAGTGGAAACTATCAAGACATTTAAAATATGATCCTATGAGTACCACCAATATGGATAGTGAATTATCTCTTGGAGGAAAAAAACCAATTATTGGTAGCTTTTTTTCTCCTTTGAAAAGAAGTTTGACTCCAGTATTATTCTCTTTTTAATAATTTTGGTGTTCATGAAAAATATTACAGTATTCATTACTTGTCTTGTGTGTGGGCTACTGTTATCTGTCTCATAATATATAATACTTTCCTGTTTTGCTTCATGAAATGCAGATTTGACCCCTCCTAATGTAGGTACTGTATTTAGTACTTTTCTATACTCTAAAAATGTATTCTTTCTGAATGTTCTTTTTATTAGTGCCATTTATTCTTTCCATTTGGGTTGATATTTATTTTTTGCATTGTTCATGCTGTGTTGTCTTAATATGCCTATAGAATGAATAACGACAAGCAAGAAACAGAAACTAAGCTTAATTAAATAGCAGAACAACAAAAAAAATTAGCAGAGCAAGGCTTTGATCATATATACTCTCCACCTAAAGTGCCTTCTATAGTGATGGGATACTGTAGTTGCAAACACAATAGGAACTAGTTTTGACAATTGGACATAATTATTTGGTGTAAAGTCTTTATCTTTCTCTCCTGTGATAAATCTTATTTTTTATCACAAGCCATCTTTGAAAGGATTCATTTAGGTTCTACAACAGATTATTTGGCATTATTTAGCTATGTTACATTTACTAAATGTCAGTGAAGCTTATAATATATGAATCATCATAATGACCAAAACATTCTCAAGTCTAGTTTTTTCTCCTTGTTTCCCAGCCTCTTGCTTTTTTCTTCCATTCTCACAGCCTCATCCACATGCATACCTATACCCCACTAGTATCAGAATGAGCAGTGCTGGTGGTTGTTGGAGAGGGGCCAGTCTAAGATTTTTTTCTCAGTTGCCCTTATTTGGAGAAGGCAGGGATTCTGCCTGGTGGGGAGAATTTGATGTTGCAGTATTCATTCTCTCACAAAACTACCCCTGTTTCTTTCCTTCCCCAGTGAGACTGAGTGAAAACTCAGTTCATGGTCTTTTTCTTTAAGTGCCACAACTAGAGTTCTGATTTCCTTGTTACCTTGTAATTATAGTGTCATGATGAATGAAAGAAATTTCAAATTTCATAAATATATTTTTTGAGAAATAGGATTAATTCAATTCACTCTTCTGAGGGTAACTTAAATAAGATAAAGACTACATTTTCTACATAGATCTGTAACCAAGAGGAAAAATAGAAAAAAAAGTGTATGTGTATATATATATATTTGTAAAGAGAAATTTAGAGTAAAGGATTAGAACTTAAAAATTTGGCAAAGGGGCTGGGGTTGTGGCTCAGTGGTAGAGCATTCGCCTAGCATGTGCAAGGCCCTGGGTTCAATCCTCAGCATTACATAAAAATAAATGAATAAAATAAAAGTATTGTGTCCAACTACAACTAAAAAATAAACATTAAAAATAATTAAGTAAAAAAGAAGACTGCTAGGTTTTTATCGGTCTGGAAAATTTCAAAATCCCTCTGTGTCTTATAGTAGAAGGCATTGTTTAGAGTGGCATATTAAAAATGATCTGCTTTTTATAGTCACTGAATTCTTTGCTACATATCTTTTCCAACTTGCTCGCTCTATTTGTCATGTTTGAATTCTTTTGCTAGTGTTCAGCATGCTTTTGAAATTTTTCAGTGTGCACAGGATTGCTGCATATTTCCATTAGTATTGACTATATTTGTTAAGATACTATGGAAGTATTTATCAATCCTCTTTATGTAGAACATATGTATGTCCTGATACATCTGCCAAAATGTATTTGACTTTGACTGTCATCAGCATATTTCCTCTGTAAATTTAAGTTTGTATAGATCCCTGTGAATTATGAAGCTTGACCGTATCACATCCCAAATTCATATATTAGTATGTCCTCATTGGCAAAGAATTTTATCTGTGAGGAACTAAAAGTACAATTAAATATTAAACCTTTACATCTAATTGATCCAAACAAGTGGGCTACATATAGAGAGACCATCTCAGAATTTATTCATGGTGATAGAAAGTACTTAGGCCACAGAATTAGAAAGACTTTATTCAAATCATGTTTCTACTACTTCTTATCTGAGTAACCTCTGTCTTTGTTTTCTCATATATAAAACAGGACTAATAATATTTATTTAATAAAAGTTAGAAAGCAAGTTAAATGTGACCACAAGTAGAAAAGTTGTAGTCAGAGTGGGAGGTGGAAAGCACTTAATACATTACAGCATAGTGGATGTTGGATCTATATTAGTTCCTTTTCTTTCATCTTAGTAGTCTACTTTTGTTATTTTTATTGAAATCTGTATTGATGCAGATGTCAATTTGATCTACAAATGAAAAGAATATAATTCTTTCTATTTTAAATATCAGCAATTAAGATTTCAGTTTGAAAACCACTTCAGTTGTCTACAATCCAGAAAACATTGTCTAATCTGGAATACATATGTTTTTGTAATGCTTTACCATGGCTCTTGCACAAATGCATAGTGCTTCTAGCTTTGAGCATTTATTTACCAAGATAACTTGAAATGGTGCTTGACAAATAAATGCTCATTTCTGAAATCTACTTTTCTTTGCAGAGATTAAAAGTTAAAATTATAATTAGTTGAGAATAAAAGGAAGAAGCATGAATCTCTGAAGCTTATAACAGTTTCAGAACTCAATCAAAATGCAAGCTTAGTATCTTTTAAAATATTCATTATATCATCAGTCAGTAGAATTTGAATATTTTAATTATTTTACTGGGACATTCAAACTTTGTAATTTTAACACATCTTTTGGATTTTCCCAAGTGGGAATAATGTGAAAAGTTTCTAATATCTGGAAAAAAATTTATATATGTATATATAGCATTATAACAGATGGTAATAGAGAAATGACCAAAAGGTAAATCCAAGTCACATGCATCAAGCTATTATTCACAGTATGTTTATCTTTGTCATGTTGCGGATAGTTCAGGGAATAATTTTGAACCTGTTTTAATAACTACTGTAAGTAAGGTAGGCCCAGATTCTGGGAATATTTTTTTTAAAAAGGTTGTCATGTAGATTGTTAATTTAATTATAAGGTGGTTATAGCACAGCACACTGATCAATTGCCTCTTATGAAGACCAGTGGGAACAAAATTGAAGCAAGAAATTATATGGCTATACAATTTCATAGAATAAGAATTAATTAATTAATAAGATTCTGGGAAATCTGTTAGGTAATGACATTGAAAACCACATGAAGATATATTGGGCAGTTTATTTCCTGAAAGGTTGATGAAAATAACAGTGTCCTTTAAATCATAAAAGGTTTCGGTACCTATTTTCGTTCATACTATCTGTGGCACTTAGCCTGAAGATTACTGTACAGATGATTCTAGAGGAATGGACCCTGAAGCTCAGATGGTTATTGATTTCTATATTGAATTGTCCAGGGAGTCTCACATGGGCCCAAGTTTAGAGAGTGTCTTGAACTTGAATAGGAATTAGAAGTGATGAAAAGTGAAATGTTTCAGCTTTCAGAAGTCTGGTGATTAGATACAGTCTAGGCTATTCCACTGTCCCCCAACTTTGCTGAAGGACAAATTATTTTGGTTGATCATTTAGGACCATTTGCAATCAGCATGTAACTGCAAGGCAAATGCAGCAGGGGACCCACATCTCTACTTGCTTTGTGGTACCCCTTCCCTACATTTTCCTTATAGGTAGTGTTTTTACTGCTGTGAAGGGAATGGCCTGGACCATTAACCCAGGTTAAATAATAGTGCCTGCAGGAGTTGTCTTCTTGAGGTGACCTTTGAAGTTCAGGAACTTAATATGATGAAGTATAACTTTAGCTTAGCACACATTAGAGTGCTAGGTGGGGTCCATATTCATCAAGTATTTTCAATAGTGATAATCTAAATAAACCCAGGAAGCCTATAAAATAGTTATTACACCTGCCCGCCCCCAGTGATCTGTTTTTAAATATTATTAGAGATTCCCTCTCTCCTTCATTGTTTGGTATAAAGTATAGGTTTGTACACCCAGAAACTTTCCTGTATGAAACCATAATCTGTATAAAATTAGATTCCCAATACACTGTATTGGGAAAAGCAAAGCTTTTCTATTTCTGTTTAATATGCTGATGTTATCCCAAAAGCTAAAAGATTTCGTTTTACAATGTTTATCTAGTCCTTTTTGCATCTAATCATAACTTCAGACTACACAAGTTTATCTGTGGTGTTTCTGGACAGTAGTAATTCACAGATATCAACTAAGGGAATCTAGATGAAGAAAAAGAGAATGGGAAGCCAGAGTGAGGGGGAGAGAGTGATGTGTACGCGAAGGCTTCCTAGATGGTGGGGGATAAGATTGTTTTTCTTTTTTCCTCCAAAGAAATTATGGTATCTAAAGAACCCTGACCAAGTATGTATGGCCAATTTGTACCTGTCTGAATAGTTTAAAATATAGTTCCTGATTTTTTCTGTCCTGAATCATCAGTGTGAATTTATGTGTAATCTAGGAGAGAGCAAGGAAGAGCGGACTTTTCGGAACTGGATGAATTCCTTGGGGGTCAACCCATATATTAATCATTTGTACAGGTAAATATTTTACTGTGTTTGAACCTTACTGTCAGGATCAAATTCCCCTCACCCCCATTCTGGAAAGGAACCCAAGTCCTCACACATGCTACACCCCCAGCCCCAGAGGTCGAATTTAGAAAGTTTCAAACTGTAGGTATGTTTACATAATAGCATTTTCTCTTATCACAAGGAGTTAGCTAACATTTAGAGTTTCAGAATGCTGGGAATTGGCAATATAGTAAAATTTTAAAAAATATAATAATTATAATTTTTGATGATGATTGAAATATATCAGTAAAGATACACATTATTCTTTCGTGGTAATCTTGAAAATAAGAAATTACTTCGGCTTTAGCATATTAGAATAACAGTAATATTTGATAAATGGTTCTTAACCTTTATATCGGTATTCATCATTAAAATTCATATTTTTAATTTATTTTCATCACAATCTCAATTACTCTAAAATGTTTGTGTATGCTTTTATTTAATTTATAGAAATAACTTGTTTTCCCTGGTAATTATTAAATTTTTATCTTTGTTTAAAAATGACAATATATAGCTGGATACAGGGGTACAGACCTGTGATGCCAGTGACTAGCAAGACTGAGGCAGGAGAATCACAAGTTTGGGGACTGTCTGAAGAAAGATGGGGAGATAGAGGATGTGGTAGAGAATCCCTGGATTCAATCCCCGTGTGACAGCATATAATTAACATGGATTGGACTAAGAAGATATTATACTAAATCATTTCCAATGTTGTTAGTGATAACAATGTGTCTTCCTAGATGTGGGTGAGAAGAAATCTTTCTTCTTATTATTATAGAATCTTGCCTTGAAAAACATATAAAGGAACTCAACTTCAGCTAACTTTTTATTTTTTAAGGAAAAAAGCCTAACTAAACCTATCATTAATTTACACATGAAGGAAACTCTTTTTTAAAGAGTTTAACTCTATCTAAAGATTGACCAAGTTATTATTTAAATATGAAGATTAATGTCATAGCAGACAACCTAACTTGCTGAGGATTAGTAGTAGTAATATAGTAATTTCTGCTTCTTGGTATGTATTAAAACTGTTCTTTAAGATCTAAAACCAAATATTGCCTTATTCTGTTAATTGGCTCAGTGTGATAAGCTCATTTTAATTCCAGCTAAACAAGAAGAGATGTACATCAATTTTAGAAGAGCTACATTATATTAGGGCAGGTAAAACTCAAATATTGGACATGAGAGAGGAATASATCTTTATGAACTAATTTGAAAGAACAAATAGCTCTAGTGTGTTTCTAGGATCAGTTTGCGGAATTCATCCTGAGATCTCTAGAAGTAATTTTATCTCTCTGGGTCTCAGTTTTCCCATTTGTAGAACATCAATAATAATACCATATCACACAGGAATGAGAGTGGGTTCACTTAAGAAAAAAAATCATGAAATAGATGGATTCTAGAACCTACACAAATACCTTAGTAATATCTTTTTTGTTTTTGTTTTTTTTGGAACTGGGGATTGAACCCAGGGGCACTTAACTACTGAGCCACATCCCCAGTCCTTTTTAATTTTTATTTTGAGACAGGATCTGACTAACTTGATTAGGGCCTCGCTAAATTGCTAAGGCTGGCTTTGAACTTGAGATCTTCCTGCCTCAGCCTCCTGAGCCATTGGGATTACAGGTTTGCATCACTCTGCCTGGCTAGTATACCTTTTTTATAGAAAATGCTCATCTGCTTACAGATAACCTTGTCAGATTTTTTAAAAAAATAATGTTGATACTAGTATCTAGATTTCTTTAATGTTTATTTAGTTATAGATGAACACACAGTATCTTTATTTACTTATTTTTATGTGGTACTGAGGATTGAAACCAGTGCCTCACACGTACGAGGCAAGTACTTTACCACTAAGCTAAAGCCTCAGTCCCAACCTTGCAGATTTTAATTACTTTCAGATTAGACTCTCCCCATCAGTCAGCACAGAGCCCAGCCTCCTTCACTGCCATATGGTGTATGCTCAGAGAATGCAAACTAACCTTAATATCAACCTTAGTAAGACATAACTCAGTGAATAAGCTGTTAGAGGAGAAAAGCCACATACTACATCACAGGCCTAGCAATTTAAAAAATCAGTTGCTACTGCTTTATGTCCTTAGCATACAGAATTGAGAACAGACTYAACACAGACATATTTTCTCAGGAGAACTTAACTTTTCTCAATACAAGGTAGTAGTTCTCACTTTAAGAACTCCTGCTTGCTTATAAATTCCCTCCTCTTAATCTTCATCATTGAACATGAACCACTGCCTACTTAATAGCTGTGGCTTTCCTGTAATTAAAGTTTCTAAAAATACTAGTATATCACTAAGATATGAATTTATTCTACTGTACAAGTTTCAAGAAATATGTAAGTATACAGATAAAATAAAATATACACTTGCCTTCTTACCCTCTCATACTTCCTTTTTCCTGCCCAGAGGTAATCCATATTAATAGTCCTTAGCATACATAGGTATATAAATTCATTTGACTCTAATTTTTAAAAAAATAAATGAGATCCAACCATGTGAAGTGTTCTGCCATTTACTCTTTTAAACTTAATATTCCCTTGTAAAGAGTGTCATGTTGGTATATAGAGATCTACATAACTATTTCTAATGGTGGCCCAATAGTTCATAGTGTGGATAGTTTATTCAATAGCTCTTAATGGCCAGGCATTTAAGCTGTTTCCAAATTTATAAATACTATGAGCGGGGTGCAGTGACATGTGCCTATACTCTTAGCTACTCAGGAGGCTGAGGCAGGAGGATTGTTGTAGCCCAGAAATTAGAAACTAGTCTGGGCAATAGAGATCTGGTCTCAAAAAAAAAAAAAAAATATTATCGATACTGTGGCAACAAATGTCTTTCTCTATGTGTGTACATATGTATTTACTTACCTACATATATAATGTATGTGTGTATATATATGCATGGATATGATTATATGTACATATATAAATGCATACAAATGTTTTTGTAAATATTTACGACAAATTTTTGGGCACATTCTTAGATTGGAAGTTCTGGGTCAAATTATATATCCTGTTATTCTATAAGCATTAAATGACTCTATTGTGGATTTTTTTTTCTTTGCCATACTAGCTATTGAGCCCAGAGCCTTGCACATGCTAGCTGAGTGCCTTCCTACAGAGCTATATTTGTAGTCCTTTTTTTAGTTTTATTTTGAGACAGGGTCTCAGTAAGTTGCCTAGGCTGGCCTCAAAATTGCTGTTCTTCTGCTTGAGCCTCCTGAGTAGCTGGTGTCACAGATTTGTACCACCATGCCCAGCCTTTGTGTTTTTCAAGAAATATGTCCACCGTCAGTGTACTTCATAAAATTAAATAATACCAACATTGACTCTTCTCTCATCTCCTTTTCCTTCTTGTTTTAGTGACCTTGCAGATGCTCTAGTGATCTTTCAGCTCTATGAAATGATTCGAGTGCCAGTTGACTGGAGCCATGTCAACAAACCTCCTTATCCTGCTCTTGGAGGAAACATGAAGAAGGTGAATGAAATAATGATCGTGGCTATATTGTCATTGTTCTGATATAAAACAGAAGATTTAGATTTTCATGAAGCTTGGTAAACTATGGCCTGTCCTCACTATTCTGTTTCAAACCAATATGTTAAACCTGATAGCCTTTTTACAAGTTTGCTTTAATAAATATTTGGAAGTTGGAGGCAGTCTTTCCAGTCAGACACTTTTATAAATGCTTTCTTCTTTAGCAAGTTGTAGTATTAATGTTCTTTGAGATGTATTGTTAAGTGCGCTCTTATTTTATATTTGCCACAACTTGCTGAATCTTTACTGGTTATTCATTCATTTACTCAGCAGATATTTGATTACCTACTATATATTACAGTGCAATGCATAATATAAAAAAAAAGTTATGGAGCCCTAARGTAGGCAGGGAGATAAGATAAACCACTACAATATAGGACAGTATAAGCAAAGTGATAGTATGGGTTTTAAAGAAGAAAAGGCCACAGGTCGCCCTTATGAAAGGCTTCACGCAGAAGGCTGATTTTGAGGTAGACCTTGAGGAATGTATTATTGAATTTTGTCACAAGGAGGATGGAGAAGGGGCTGAGGGTTAAAGTAAACAATAATAGTGGGAAAGTGTGTTTCTGGGAATTAAGGAAAATGGTTTTGCTACAGCAGAAGATTTTGATAGGTAAGCAGTTAATTAAAAATTGGGATTGGAGCAAGATATTAAGAACCTTGAATGCCAGATTAAAGAACATGGGTTTTAAGTTATAAGCAGTGGAAAGTCAATAAATGTTTTTGAAGGCAGTGATTTCATTACATCTGGTGGAAGAAAATCTGGTAGATGAATGTAAAAAGAAGTTCTTATCTTCCAGTATTTTTCATATGGGATCAGTAGTCTCCTTGGTGTTCACATTTGTTCTGTGGAAACCTTTTTGGGTCTTTTGCATTTCCTTTTTACCTTTTTTTAATGTCATTTGCTTTCTAAAGTAAAAGTATGCAGGACTTTCAAATTTTAATACTTTCATTTAACCTCATCCTTTTGTTTAAAATAAGAATAATTTAAACATACTAAACAAATTAGTGGACTAAATTTTCTAGAACTTACTTGTTTGATTAATATGAAATTGAACAGCATTTTCATAATATTTAAAACTGTTGGTAGTTGAATAAAAAGAAATATAACCATATTCCTGGACAGAAAGACTAAATAACATAAAGAGATCAATTTTTTTTCTAGTCAACTTACCGGTAGAACATAATTCCATTTAGAATCTAAGACTGTGTGTGTGTAGCAGGGGATCTGTGAAACAATTTATATATGTGTGTGTATTAGGGGGTAGGTGGGACTTATAAAGTGATTATAAAGCTTCACTGGAAGAAGGAAAAGCCCTGAATAGTCAGGAACATTTTCCAAGGATGTTGAGGGATATTTTAGAGATGTTAGAAAATAATCATGGGTTAATGATGAACCACATATACAATGGTGAGTCCCTAAGATTATATCACCTGTTGACATCATGACCATAGTGACACATTTCTTATTAAGCAGTACATGGCTATATATTAAAATTTATAGTGAAGGTATAGTAAATGAAATATTTAGTATGAATGTAAAAATGGAATGGAATAGGATAGCCAAGAAATCCTAAGCCTAAGAACTTAATATATGGCAAGGTGGTTGCTGAATTCAAGAGGGAAAGGAAAGATCATCCAAAAAATGATGCCAGAAAAACCTAGTTAACTATTTAGTTAGAAAAAAAAAAAAAACGCAGTCTTTACCATATATAATCCACCAAAGTAAATGCCAGGTGGATTTAAAGTAAGGAGTATTAAAATATAATAAAACTCTTAAAATGTAAGTGAATGATTCTCTATTCCTGGAATAAATAATAAATTACAAAGGAAAAAGTAGATATGAATACATTTCATATAAACTTCAAACTTTACGTACAAAAATAAATCGATAAAGAAAAGTTAAAAGCAAACGTGAAGAATCCACGTTTACAAAAAGTATGACAAGTGATTAATAATGTAAATATAAGTAGTTCATATAAATCAACTACTAAAATCCAGTTGCTGTTACCAGCAAAATGGGAAAACAACATGAGTTCAAAATTCACAGAAAAAAATGATGGGTAATACACAGAAAAACTTTTACCCACCATAAAGAAATGCAGTTTAAAACAAGAAATTGCATCCGGTGTTAAGAGGATATGTTCCTTTTTAGAACCTTTCTAGAATCAGTTTTGTAATATATTATCAATAATCTTTAAAAAAACAAATCGTTTGGGATGGCTCAGTGGTAGAGCCCGGGATATGTGAGACACTGGGTTCAATTCTGAGCACCACATATGAATAAATAAATGAAATAAAGGTTCACTGACAACTAAAATATGTTTAAAAAATTCTTTGATCTAATAATTTCAATTCTTATCATCTATTCTGATGAAAAATCAGGAAGTCAGACAAGCAATTGTCCGCCAGAATGTTTATCACCATAATGTTTATAGAACAAAAACTAAAATAATTGTTCAATAAAACATTAGTAGTGACTCACCTATAAGATGAAGTAAAATTTGCCATTAAAAATAGTATTTTAGCCTGGCGTGGTAATGAACGCCTGTAATCCCAGTGGCTTGGGGGGCTGAGGCAGGAGGATAGAGAGTTCAAAGCCAGCTTCAGCAAAAACTAGGCAGTAAGCAACTCAGTGAGACCCTGTCTCTAAATAAAATACAAAATAGGGCTGGGGATGTGGCTCAGTGTTCTAGTGTCCCTGAGTTCAAACCCCAGGACCAAAAAAAAAAAAAAAGTATTTTAGCTGAGGCAGAAGAATTGCAAGTTCAAAGCCAGTCTGAGCAATTTAGCAAGGCCCTAAGCAACTGAGCAAGAACCTGTCTCAGAATAAAAAATAAAAAAGGCTGGGGATATGTCTCAGTGGTTAAGTGCCTTTGGGTTTAATCCCTGCGTACCAAAAAGGAAATTTTAAAAAAGTGTTTTAGTAATAGTGACATGGGAAAGCAATATATAAAACTGTGTATGTACATGATATAAATCTGTTTTAAACATATAATTCAAAAAGGACTTCTAATCTTCCTCTATATCCCCAAAATGAACATACATTTATAGACTTTGTAATTAAAAAAATAAAAGACTTTTAAAAGTAAATACATCATAATATTAGAAGTTTTAAAATTAGTAGTATAATAGTATAATGATGAAATTTATATTCATATTTCTCAGTATTTCTGATGGTTGGACTGACTACATTTTAAACTTTCAATTGATTTGCTCACAGTTTTTGTCACAGAAGTACAATTCAGAAAATCTTTAAGAATTCAGAAAATCTTGTTGAATAATTTTATTTGTTTTTTTTTAATTTTTTTTTTTTTTGTCAGTGGACATTTTTTATTTATTTATATGTGGTGCTGAGAATCAAACCCAGTGCCTCACAGATGTCAGGCAAATGCTCCACCACTGAGCTACAACCCCAGTCTTAAGTTTTTTTTTTTTTCCTTCAAAATTTCTTATGTAAAATGTAACAGGAAAACACAAATTGAACCATTCATTATGCTTGGCATTTTTATGTTAATTGCAAAATATTACAAATGAATCATGTAGAATGCTTCATTTCAACAAATACTAGCAATTTAGTAGAATTAAACATAAAGCCTGAGATAAATTCGAGATGCTTAAAAAACAAAAAAGCAGTCCTTTTCATGACACATTATCATAGGGAATTATTTTATGGACTTTGGGCAACCATTAATGCACATCACTTCACTTATAAAGTTCATAAAACTGTATCATTAAATATATTTCTTTATTACTTTTTCAGTATTTGTTGTCACTTGGAACCTAGTATCCTATTACATAACCCTTCTCATTGTCCAAATGAGCCTCCAAAGCATTGAAGTGCTTGGAATCATTCTTTCATTCACTCTGAGACTCTGCTCTCTAACTTTTCCATCCTTTCCCTCCTGGGGATTGAACCTAGGGGCCCTGTACCACTGAGTTACGGCCCCAGCCCTTTTTATTTTTTTTTGTTTTGAGACAAGGTCTCACTAAGTTACTCAGGCTGGCTTTGAACTTGTAATCCTCCTAACTCGGCCTCTGGAGTAGCTGGAATTATAGTTCTGTACCATCATGCTTGGCTTTGTGTTCATTCTTAACTTTCATGGGTTCCTCATATTTTAGCCTGACAACTCAAGTATTTCCAAGACTCATTCTTGCCTAAAGCTCTTAACTTCTGTATATACAGCCTCAGAAAGCAGATCTATTTTTAAGGTTTTAGATACTATCATAAACATGACTTACCGCCAGGAACCTAATTTCTCATTTTTTCTCCAGTTTAGTACCTCTCCAGATCTTAGAAATGTTTTGCCAAATTTGCAACCAAATGCTGCCCCAAATAGAACACCATTCCCCTTATATTAACACCCACTTCCAGTTTCCCTTTCTTGTTAGTCATACCAGCATCCCCTTAGGCTCTACACTAGCATCCCCTTAGGCTCTATACTAGTGAGATTCTTTCTCACCATTGTCTCAGGCATTTTGGTCTAACTAACTAACAGATGGCCCTTTCCTAAAACACAGTCTACACAAAAGTGATGACTGCAATTTGCCAGTGAAGTTTCCCATTCAAATGAGTATCCATGGTTTTTCTCTCTTTTTATTCACAGTTACATAATCAGGAGTGCTGATTACTTTCCATAAATTAGGAATCTATTTTTTTTAGTTCTATAAATTTCTATAGCATTTGTTTCTATTAAACAGGCATAATTAAATATGACTACTAGGAAAACTAATTTTGAAATATTATCTCCTTGCATGTAAAAAATATGAATCTAAATCAGATGTTTTATTTGATTTATGAAGTGAACCAGGCAGGCAGATGTTACAGAAAGTTCAAAGGATCTTCTTGTATTTTTTTTAAAACCAACTGAACTTCAGGAATTTGAATTCTCTTTAACAAATTTGTTTTAAAAATCTGCTAATTGTGTGGCCTCTTCTTTGCCTTTCATAGAAATATTTCCGGGCTGGAGATGTGGCTCAGCGGTAGCGCGCTTGCCTGGCATGCGTGCGGCCCGGGTTCGATCCTCAGCACCACATACCAACAAAGATGTTGTGTCCGCCAAGAACTAAAAAATAAATATTAAAAATTCTCTCTCTCTCTCTCTCCTCTCTCACTCTCTCTTTAAAAAAAAAAAAAAAAGAAATATTTCCTTATTTTTAGAAAAAAATGTATCTGCTTATCCCTGGTTGAATTGTTTTGAAATGGAGCCTTCACTACCTTGAAAAGAAAATTGAGAGAAACTAATTATACTGTTTTTTTTCTTAACTGTTTTTTTCCAAAAAGTACTTAGTAAACAGTTTTCTTTTACTGGTGAGATTATACAATTATGAGCATACAGTTTTACTTAAGGAAAACTCATCTACATAAGAGTGTGTGTGTGTGTGTGTGTGTGTGTGTGTGTGTGTGTGTGTGAGAGATATATTTCTATTCTGATAAAAGAAGTACAACACTAGATGATGGGAAATAAGAATATTCTCTAGAGGCCAAGATAGACCAAAAAAAAAAAAAGTACAGAAAAATTTAACCAGACTTAATATCACTAGAAATAAATAGATAGGTAGGCAAATAATTTATTGGTATTTATAGATCAGATTTTGACTGTTGGCAAGGCACTGGGCTGGAAGAAGGGAAACTATGATATAGATTTATACATGTAAACATTTTTGTTTTTTAAAAGGAGTCATACAATGAGTAGCAAAAGAAATCACATAAAAGCTAAAATAAGTAAAAGATGGTGCATAAGCATTGCAATATAAGCATTATTAGGAATTCAACAAGTTAACAATCATTATTAACTGGTGTAGTTAAGGTTAAGCTTTGTTAAATAAAATGGGCCAAAAGCTGAAATTAAGGATGAGTAAGATCAGATAAAGAATATGAGAGATGAATATGAGAGATTCTTAATGAAACGATGACTTTTCTATTCCTTAATTTAAAATCTAGAATAAACATTATTTATTAGGTTTATTAGTGGAATGCAGGAAACCAAGGGTTTTAGTTACATATTTGCCATTAGTAAGATGTGTAATCTTAGAGAGTCAAGACTTACAGGGTAAGACAGGCTCTTAATACTTTTTAGCCAGTTGTTCCTCTATCTAGATCAATCCCTTAGTGCTTGGATATCTTTAGCTATAAAATAGAAATAGTTATTCCTTGCTTTCACTGGGTTATTATGAAATGAAATTCAGTCATATAAAGTGTTATTAGAATTATTTTTTCAGATGACTGAATTAGGTTGACATATTCAGGAAATATGTTTTTATACCCAAACTTTTGCTTGCTTATAGATTGAAAACTGTAACTATGCAGTGGAGCTTGGGAAGAATAAAGCCAAATTCTCCTTGGTTGGTATTGCTGGGCAGGACCTAAATGAAGGGAATTCAACACTTACTCTGGCATTGGTATGGCAGCTGATGAGAAGGTAAAGGCTGATGTATTTACAGCAACACTGTCAGTTCCCTTCAACAAGTTACTGAGCTAAACTTTTAGCTATTTTTGAAGAATAATAAACACAATAAATATACAATGTAAAATATATTAATTTTGTAAAGGATTTACTATTGATTATATATACTAGTGAATTTCATTTTAAAATGGGTTTGTTTCTTCATCTCACTTCATTCAGAATGGCAATTATCAAGATATACAACTAATGATAAGTGTTGGCAAGTGTTGGGGAAACAGGTACACCATACATTGCTGGTGGGACTGCAAATTAGTGCAACCACTCTGGAAAGCAGGATGGAGATTCCTCAGAAAACTAGGATTTGAATCACTGTAGGACCCAGCTATCCCACTTCTTGGTATACATCCAAAAGATCTAAAATCAGCATACTATAGAAATACAACCACATCAATGTTTATAGTAGCACAATTCACAATTTCTAAGCGATGGAACTAACCCAGTGCCCTTCAACAGATGAATGGATAAAGAAGATGTGGTATATATACACAATGGAGTATTAGTCAGTCATAAAGAAGAATGAAATTATGGCATTTGCTGGTAAATGCTTGGAATTGGAGATTGTCATGCTAAGTGAAACAAGCCAATCCCAAAAAACCAAAGGCTGAATATTTTCTCTGATGTGTGGAAGCTAGGCCAAAACAAGGAGGAAAAAAATAGAGAAAAGAAAAAAGCAGAAGAGGGGGACAGAATTTCATCAAAATCTGACCTAACTTTTTTATGTGGTTGCACTAATTTGCATTCCCACCAACAATGTATGGTATACCTGTTTCCCCCACACTTGCCAACACATATCATTACGAATATTAGGAATATACCACAGTGAATCTCACTATCATGTGTACTCACAAAACACTAATTAAAAAAAAACTAAGTAAATAGCAGAAAAATCAGTAGAGGGAAGGAAATAGGGAGAAAGGAGAAGAGAAAAAGAGGAAGTACTGGGGAATTAAGGCAAATTAGTTTCCATACTTTTATAATTATGTCAAAATGAATTCTAATGTTATTTATAACTAAAAAGAAGTAATAAAAAATTAGAAAAGAAAATGGGTCAATCTCTAGAAACACTTTTTATTAATGTCTCTTAAAATGGCTCTGTAAGTTGTTTTAAATTTTTTAAATACCATATGGTAGTTTTTGTTTTTACATAGTGAGCTTTAGAACTCTGGAATGTAACCAAGTACAAATGCCAGGCTAACATTAGAAATATTTATTAGAACTGAACTATTTCTTAAATGTTTATCTAAATATTGACATAAATGATATGAAAGTAAAATTTACCCATTTTAGTCTCAAATATGTGTCTTTTCTATTGCAGGTATACATTGAATGTGTTATCAGATCTTGGAGAGGGTGAAAAAGTGAATGATGAAATTATTATTAAATGGGTCAACCAGACTCTTAAAAGTGCAAACAAAAATACTTCTATTTCCAGCTTCAAGGTAATCAAGAGTACTTAAGATTTTTTTCTGTAAGTTTAGGAAGGAACTTTTTATGGAGAATTATATTGTTTAGGTTCAGAATTACATTAATGTAATATCTTAGAAACACACAACTTAGGAGTTTAGGCATAGTAATTATTTGGCATTTGTAAACTAGAAATATTCAGTTTGAATTTTTATATTTGTAATTGGTTATCCTATTGAATATAATGCAAGGTAATAGATGATGGTAATTTAATCTTAAGAAGAAATAGAATCAAGCCAAAAAAAATCCAATTGTCAAATGAAAAATAAAGATAAAAGCCATTGTTTATGTAGGACCTGTAATGTTTTGTGCTCCCTAGCAGCAGTCTCAGAATTATATTGACATCATTTCCAAGGCATAACAGAGCCAGCCAAACCGATTCAAGTGGGAATTGAGAAAACTGGTAGGAAAAAAAAAATCTTGTCATCTGGCTTCATAATGCACTTAACACTTCCAAGCATTTGTGGATGATCCATAAAGCACTCCAAGATGTAATCTGCCCGTACATATCACTAATTTTCATGCATTTCATTGTGTTTTGCTTTTGCATGCAAGCTGGTGTTAACTACAAAAGAGCATGTCTGCTTGTACACCTTCATTCAGTGTTTGTGATTTTATTATGTGTGAAAAGCCAGCAATTTGCAGTTTTTAGTGAAATAAAGAAGTGCAAACAGATGAAACACTAAGCTATCCTAGGAAATATCTACCCATCTTTATTCTTTTCTTTGCCTTTGCTCTATTTGTTTAACAACATTGTAGAGTGGAAGGAATGTTAGAAACTGATAAATTCGATTTTTTCATCTATACCCAAAACTGAGGACTCAAACAATTGTAATAGGAAGTTGGATGTTGGCAGAGATGTTGCCCAAGTTCCTAGTTCAAGTGCTTTTTATCCCTCTTTTATCTTGAAAAGAACCAATAATGTTTTTATTGTTGCTTATTTTTTTAAAGTAATTTTCAGTTTATAATTTGTCTATATATTTTATATAGAAAACAGAATTTAAAAATGTGAAACAGGATTGAGGGTGTATTATAAACTTCTCAAACTGGCAGTTACACTTTAATATTGTTACACTGAAATTATATACATTTACATACTAATTTAAAATAATAAGCACAGATAATTAAATATATTAATAGCATTCAGGAAAAAACAATACTTATTAAGTATTTACTATTAAGTAACTTTTCTGAATAAAGAGTAAGAAATTAATTTGGCCCTCAGTGTTCACCATTTATTTGAAAGAGAAACTTGTATAACTGAGAAGGTAACAATACTACAAACTAAATTATAAGCTCCAATTAATATAATTTATATTATCTTGGGTTAAGTCTAATTGATAATTTCCAACTCAATAGTCATTAAAGAGTGGAAAAAGTTAATTGATGGAGAAGGGATTTGAATTGGTGGGGGGAAAAAGAATAAGCTAGAGGGGTAAGGGCAAGTCTGAGAAGGTAGGGAGAAGGAGATTGGCTAGGGAGGATGGCTTCTATGGGATGTTGTACTAGATATGGACTAGATCAAGATTGTGGAGGATCTTGATAAAGATGATTTTTTTGAAAATAATTTTTTAGTTGTAGGTGGACACAATACCTTTATTTTATGTATTTAGTTTTAGGTGGTGCTGGGGATCAAACCCAGTGCCTCACATTTCTAGGCAAGTGCTCTTCCACTGAGCCACAACACCAGCCCTTGATAAAGATCTTTAAGGAGATTGAGTAAGGGGAGTAATGTAAGAAAGGTGATTGATTTAGAAAGACTACTCTAAATGTGGTGATCAACATGAGTTGTAGGGAGAATGGTGTAAGAAGAACAAAGCATAAGACTCTAAGGCAGTGTGAAATAAGGGTCTGTATGGAGATGGGCACTGGGAAATTTTAGAATGGATATCTATGAGCTGTTGTGAAAAAACAGCTAGAACTTGGCTTCTTGATTTAGAGAAGTGGGGGTTAGAGAGYAGAGTCAGAATTCTTGTTTGGGGCCTGGGTAATCTGTAAAATGGAAAGTACAGAGAATGGAGTATCATGAAGTGCAGCAGGTTTCTAGAAAAGGTGATGAATTCAGTCTTTAGCTTACTGAGTTTGAGGCAGAATAAACGTGGAGGTGGATGAAAGGAGACACTGGGAAGACAGATGTGGTGACCAGTTGGATAGAAGAGATAGTTGAAAATGGTAGTACAAAAACCCTACCAGGGAGAATGCTCACACAGAACCGCAGCGGGAGAGAGCGCAGAGGCAGAAAGAAGCATTGCAAAAGTGCTTGGCATTTCATAGGTGCTTGATAAAATACTCTTTAAAGACAAGCAGTTGACTAAGAAATGTGGCAGTGACTGCTAGAAAATAGTTGGGATGGGGGAAGTTTTTTCCAGCTGTAGAAGGCATTATGTCTGAAGGTTACAATAAATGGTGCTAGTAAGAATTTATTAATAGTTATCAAGGTGATGCTATAACTAGACATTTCAGAAAAGACAAATTTACTCTCTTCAGTTACAGAGTAATTTTCACTCACCAAGAAAATAGGGAGGTGGAATATCACCAAATAATAATAATCATAATGACCATGTGTGAAGTCCCATGTGTAACCATGCTGAGTACTTTATACACTTTCTTTTACTTCTTTCAGTGAGCCAAAAAGGGAGCACTAGAGCAGTTAGATTAAATAACTTGTCCACTGTCATGCAACCTTTAAGCAGAATAGCTGGATTTTACATCCAGGGCTATCTACCTGCAGACTGAAAACCAAGCTTTGGAGTTGTATGGCTTTGACTTTGGCTCTTGGCTCAGCCATTTATTTGCTGTGCGACATACTGCTCATTCATTCCATAAATATTCAAAGCTTACCCTGTGTCAGGTGCCTTGCTATTTACTAAATGATTACATAGTGCCCCCAAAGACCTCTTATTTTGTCAAATAGACAAATAAGAAAATAAGAATCACATTATTGATATCAGTAATACCATATGAATCAGTTAAAGGGTCTGTTTTACAAAAACCTTAGCTGGGCTACATCTATTGATGAATAAAACAGAACTTATGTCTGCCTCAGCATTAGTAGTTGTTTGACCTTGGACAAGTTATTAATTTCTGTTTTTTAAAAAATAGAGACATACTAAAAAATCAGATCCAGATTGCCAGCATAAGGTAGACTGAAGAGCCCTAATTAATTTTATCTTCCATTTCTACCTGTTCCAAATATGATTTATAAAATAAGCATTTCTGATAATTTATGAATTTTAGAAAAATTTTATTCTTAGGTGGCTCACAGGTTATGAGCTGTTACTTTTCTTCACATGGCTTCAACTTGTTTTGTCAGATATTTACTATACCACTCCTTCATATTTATCCTAAAGATCTAAAAGCACCATATTATGGTGATACACACATACCAATGTTTATAGCAGCACAATTCACAATAGCCACGTTATGGAACCAGCCACAGTGTTTGTCAACAGATGAACTGATAAAGAAAATGTGGTAATAATATGCAGTGTAGTTTTGCTCAGCCATAATGAAGAATGAAATTATGTCATTTGCTGGTAAATGGAGGGAACTAGAGAATATCATGCTAAGTAAAATGATAAGTCAGTCTTTTCAAGGCAAGGGTAGAATGCTTTCTGTTTGAGGAAGAAAGAGAGAGAGAAAAAGAGAAAGAGAGAGAGAGATGGATGGATTAAATGGGGGATGGGAATCTCATGAAAATAGAAAGGAGACCAATAGAGTAGAAGAAGGGAATCAAGAAGGAAGGAGGATAGGCAGGGCTTGTGGCTCAGTGGTGAGCACTTTCCTAGCACATGTGAGACCCTGGGTTCAATCCACTGCACCACATAAAAATAAATAAAATAAAGATATTGTGTCCATCTACAACTAAAAAAAATTATTAACAAAAGAAAGGAAGTGAGACCCTAAGCAACTTAGGCCTGTCTGAAAATAAAAAATAAAAAGAACTGGGGATGTGGCTCAGTGGTTAAGCGCTCCTGGGTTCAATTCCTGGTACCAAAAAAAAAGGGGGGGGGGTGGGGAGCAGGGGAAGGCATGGGAAGTACTAGGGAACAAACTACTAAATTATTCTATGCCCAAGTACAAATATACTACAGTGAATCTTGCTTATATATATAATGATAGTGCACTAATTAATAATAACTAGAGAAGGGAATCAGTAGAGCAGAGCAGGCAGATCAGGGGGAAAGAGGCAGGGAGGAAAAGGGAAGGTTCTGGAGAATAATTATAACGCACCAATTACAAATGTGAAAAAGGAACCCACATTTGGCTAGGTGCAGTGGCACATGCCTTATGCTTGTAATCCTAGCTACTTGGGAGACTAAGGCAGGAGGATCACAAATTCAATGTGGCATCAGCAACATAACAAGACCCTATTTCAAAATAAAAAAAATAAAAAGAACTAGGTACGAGCACCCCTGAATTCAATCCCTGGAACTACAAAATGAAACAAAAACCACATTTGGCTATGAACAGTACTAGATGCTTTCACCTGTATTATCATAATATTCCCAAGAATCCTGTGACATTCCTATTTTAGAAATTAGGAAAAGGTATAGTTGGCTTCAAGAAACAGAAATCCAATTTAATGTGGCTTAGGACAAAAGGAAAGGTAGTTAATACAATAACAAATGGAGAGGTAGGGTAGACGTAAGGAGTAATTGAGCTAGTAACTGAAGAATGTCATTCAGGATTCAGGGTTTTTTCCCATCTCTGCTTTGCCATCTAACATGCCAACTTCACCCAAAAGCTGGTTCTCCTCTTGATTATAGRATAGGTGCTGGTTGTGACAGAGGTTTCATCCTCTCATTCATATTCAGGAGGAGGGGTTGCTGGCTTTCTATAGTCTAATTAAATTAAACCCAAATTAAAATCACTGTGGTAGCAAGCTAGAGTGTTTTTTAAACTTTTTTTCCCCATTATTGTCCCCCTCAGCAGTATTTTTAGACACTTGTTCCCTAATCGCCCTTTTCCTGTGAAATTTTAATGTAAATATACACTGAATATCTGTTTATGCACACTGTATGCTTTATACATATAAAGAATAAGTTTATTGCCCTGCCTTCAATTAAGAGAGAATGTCCTAGACTTCAAATTCACTCCTTGAAGCTCTGGATGGGATCAGCTTTCCTTGAAGCACCGTACATTTGGGGGAGGAATGGGTATAGAGCAAAAATATGAGTTCTGTTAGAATGGATAAAGAAGTAAGGAGTGAGTGGATGCTGGGCAGGCAAGTAATAGTGGCCATTATTCAAGCTGAGAAAAAGAACAAATAATTTGTTCAAGTACCAGTAAGTTGCAAAATCAACTCAGATCAGATTTTTTTTTCTTCAGCTACAGCACTCTATCCACTAGAATCTAGTTATCCATTTTTAATTCACATTCGAGGTAACTTCAAAATGCAAAATATCTTAGACATTAGAGTCAGATTGTCATGGGTTCTAATACTTGCTTTGTATTTACTGGTTGTGTTAAACACAACTTAATCATGTTCTTTATCTTTAAAAGAGGCTTTATAATTCCTTTTTTACTAGGATGTTAGGATTTTCAAAAGAGGGTTAAATAAGCTAAAATATGTAAAGCAACAGGAACAATCCTTTGTAAATGTTATTTCCCTTTCACTATTTAGTTTTTCTTTCTAAAAAATATTAAGTAAAGACTTGGTAATTCATGGTCTAAGAAATATTACCAGAATTTATAAAATTATTAATTTAAAACCTATCTCCTATTCCCTTTCAAAAGTTGTTTTTCACAGGATACTTTAGTTAACACACTTAGGAATACTTATATCCCAAAACTTTATTCACGTATGTGATAACTCTTTTCACTATAATTTGTAGAAATACTGAAGAAAAAAGAGTATTTTAAAGGATTTTGTGTACTGGTTACGAAAATGCTTAAAATTAAGTACAAAGAAAATTTATAGATTATATTTAGTTAAATGCTATGACCAGAAGAGACTGACATCTGTGAAAATTAATGGTAAGATGTTTAAGAACATTCATCTATGCTTTATTTCCTAGGATAAATCTATTAGCACAAGTTTACCTGTTCTAGATTTAATAGATGCCATTGCACCAAATGCAGTTCGTCAAGAAATGATCAAGAGAGAAAACCTTTCTGATGAGGATAAACTGAACAATGCTAAGTAAGTCTTTAGAACATAGTGGCCTTTTAATTCTCTCAAATCCTTCCAGGGAAAGGATTGTCTTGTCAAGATATTCAATTTCAGTCAAAATGTATTTTGACTTTTTTGTGTTACTCAATTGTCCAGTATATTTTTAAGTACAACTTGCAAGGGGAATATGATCTAAGAATCACAACTTTAACCTATCAAAATATTGAATTGTTAAAATAAATATTTTTATTTTACTGTGAAAACACTGTAGATATACAAATAACAAAATATTTTTCTTGTCTTTTCAAGATATGCCATTTCAGTTGCTCGAAAGATTGGTGCTCGGATTTATGCATTACCTGATGACCTCGTAGAAGTAAAACCAAAGATGGTTATGACGGTGTTTGCATGCTTAATGGGAAAAGGACTGAACAGAATAAAATAATGAAACTATATGGTCGTCTGCCACATTAAACACATTGAATGCCTCACAGTTTACAGAATTATGAAATGTAGTGGGTATCAAATCAGAGTATTTGTATGTTTAAAATAGATGTATTCATTAATGAGTTTGACATCCTATTCATATTAGTTAGAATTATCATCTTTTTGGATAACACCATTTACTTACCAATAACAYACTGACAGTAGAATGTTTGTTATTAAACTGATATTTCATGATTAAATTACTTTTGTTTCCTAAAAGTCTTAAAAGGCAAGATTAATTCATTCTTTTTCTATAGTTAAAAAAATCAGTAAAAAAAAAGTTTTCTCTTGTTTTGCAGGTTCTGCTGTGAATGTGTTTTGACTTTGGTGTGTTATTTAATTGTGATCTAATGTATTCAAAGTCATAATCCAGTCTAATCCTTTTATTTTTTTCTCCAACTATGTAAAGTGGTCTAAAAATTTAACTTTCTATAAATTTCTATACTGTTTAAAATTTTAAAGTGGCAAGTATTGTTCATTAATATTAAAACTTTTTTACAAATGAGAACTAATCTTAAATAAATCACAAATTTCATTCTCTTGTTTAAGGAGCAGGAGCTTTTTCTTTAAAGCTTAATTTTAACTGTATTGCTACTTTAAACTCCTAGTTCAGTAATGCAGCTTTATCTATGGCATGTAGCATATACTATATGTTTGTAGGACGTTATTAGAGAAATATGTGCATGTGTACATATTTTGTACTTGAATTACTCAGTTTTGCTTAAATGGTATATATAATCAGTCAGTCAGCCAACAAGTATTTATTTTGTCCCCACAATATATGTAACACTCCCTTTTGTGGATGTCTGATATGTGAATATTTCTTTTACAGATACTCATTATGAATGTGCATATAGTTATTTCTCACCTGATTCCTTCCAAATACTTGTAGCAAGACATTGGCTAAAACAGGTGGATACTATCCTGTTAGCTTCATATACCAATAGTAGTTTAGGTGTATAATTAAACCTATATAATTTAGAAGATATTCAGTAGGCATATTCTATTAGTAAAAGTAACATAAAGCTAATATTCAACAAGAGTATTTTTACGTTTCTTTCACTGTCTCCTATAAATTGGCAATGTTTGTTTAATGTTTGTGTTACTTAGGGGTACCTAAAGCTTGAGACCCATTTTTTTTTCACTGAATTTTTAACAGTAGGCCATTCTACTGCTTACAATTGAATCCAAAAATCTACTTCCTCCATCCCCCACTTTCAGTGCCAGTAAGCAATACTGCTATGCAACAAAAATGCTGTCACTTTATCTCTGTGTGAATGAATAGTTTAAATCCTCCTCCTCCTACTGATTAAAACAATCATGGTAAGAGTGAGAGTGACTTTGTGTTTAGAATAGAATTTTTTAAGTGAAATGATCAGTAGGTGTAATTTTGAAATATATTCTTCTACAAGAGATTTCTTTCCCTTTTATATTTTGATGATTGTTTTCTTATATGAAAATTATGGTATGTTATATGAAAATTAAGGTATGTTCTCTTTTATGACATTATTTAAATCATGCTTCCCTCTTTGATTTTTTCATATTTACTAAGCTATCTGATTTCAATGAAATTTGGCACTTCAGAGAGTTCTTTTTCCTCACAAAGTATATTTAATAAAACTGCTGTGTATGTAGAAATGTGTCAGTATTTATTTCATTTAAAGGTACAGCCTTGAAAATTAGTCTAGGTCAAACTTATTTTCCAGAAAAGAGAACAATTCCTAAATTAGTAAAATTAGACCCTTGCTTTGAAGGTGAGGGTAGTTCTTTCCTATGAAGAATTTTATTAAAGACTGTATGATTACTACAAATCTAGTTTGTGTCGAATAATTTGAGTGAATTCATCAATTCATTAACATAAATGTATTGTCTTCTGTGATGGATGTATTATGTTATACATTAGGGATTCAGCTGAGAAAAATACACAGTCTCCTGAYCTTATATCCTATTGGAGAGAAACGGACCATTAATAGGAATTTTAAATAGTGCAGTTGAAGAAATAAAGCAGGACCATGTGATAGAGACTGACTTGGGAATTGAAGTGTAGATAAATTTGGATATTAGGGAAGGTCTCACTAATGATGTTTTATTTAGACTATGAGTGGTCAGTTCAGAGAACAAGAACAAAGACTCTCCAGCCTGGAAGAGACTTGTAAGCATTATAGAAAACAGGCAAATGTGGCTTCAGAGTAATAAAGGAGAGGGACAGTCTCGAAGGTGTAAATATGGTCAATCCTATTTCTAGGACTAGATGTAAATCTGGATTTTTTACTTCTCTGGCTGGAGTTACGACTGTTCTTTTGTACCTGTGATTTGGGTGAGTTGCTTTGAGTTAATGTGCTGCTTCTGAATCTTGCATATGATTGTTCATAACACTACCATTGGTTTCCATGTAACATGCAGAATTGACACATGTAGATATGTTAAAATATCCCAATTTATGCTAGATAGAGTTTACTAGAGAGACTAGAGAAGATATTCTGCATCTGAGATGATCCAAAGGTTTAAAAAATAGAGTGCAGTTAGAACACTGGCTTACTCTGAAGTAGGTATAGCCCCCAAATACTTTGGAATATCTGCTAGGATACCTTAAAGTAGGGTATCTTAGAAATTACTCCAGTGCCCTTGGGAGTACTAAAGAATCATTTAAGTCCAGAAAGTTGAAAAAACTTCAGATGAAAGTGAAACAATACTTATTCCTGAGTTAGGGTTGTTCTGCTAACGACTAAACATTTTGCTGGACTAAGTGTATAAGAATGTACACATAAATATGTAACTGTTCACTTGCCTTGAATTTAAAATGAGAAATTTTGACATTTCACCAGCAAACTTGCAACTGTACTGAACAAGACAAAAGGGGAGATTTGTCGAGAGACAAATTCAATTGGTTGTTAATATTGTGAAGTAAACACACAGAAAAAGTTTGGAAAGGTAGGCAATCTTGGCATTTGCTAAGGCCTTTTAGACCTGATCTAAAGAGGACTTTCAGGGGAAAGTTCCATTTAGAATTGTGAGAAAAAAAGTGTTGGCAGGGATAGGAGAGAAACAAATAACTTGACTGGGATAGGAAGTATTCCCCTCAAATTCAAGCTACTCTGAAGTAAATTTATGCATTGCCTTAAAACCTACAGCCTAAAAGGTATGATTTAGATTTTTTCCTTTAGTTTATTGTGGGAAGTAATACGAATTAAAGACGTAAATTCCAGCCCTGCCAGGTGGCGCTTTACCTGTAATCCTAGCATCTGGGGAGGCTGAGGCAGGAGGATCTCTAGTTCAAAGCCAGCCTCAGCAAAAGCGAGGCCCTAAGCAACTCAGTGAGACCTGTCTCTAAATAAAATACAAAATAGGGATGGGGGTGTGGCTCAGTGGTCTAGTGCCCCTGAGTTTTCAATGGCTGGTACCCCCCCCCCAAAAAAATATGTAATTTTCAGTTTTCCCTCCTTACCTTTCAAAGGTGGAAGACAATAGCAACACTGGATAATGATTAATCTGCTTTAAATAAAATTTTGATTAAAAATAAGTCATTCAAGGAAGTGGCACTTACTGAACGCTCCGCTGTTGCCCAAATAATAGATCCATCTTTTAAATTAAATATGCATTTAATAAATGTGGCCCTTGGAAGGATGGTGATGCACTTATTCAAATGCGACGGCGTCTATTAATCATATGCGAATGAATGTGTGACAAGAATATTAGGTCAATTTCAGATCGCAAACTAATCGTTCAAAATATTTGTGTGTGTATGTAATATATATCCCTTAAAAAACGACATCTAGCCCAACGTCAGGGCGGACAAACCCACCAGTGTGGCGGCGGGACTTCGCCCCTGTTCTCGGGCAGAGCTCACCAGAACGCCAAGGACGTGCACACTTCCACCAGGGGTTTCGCCTACACATTGTCGTCAGAGGCTCAAACAGATATGTGCTGCGTGTTTACTAATGTGTAGCAGCGGGCGCGGAGAAATTACCTCAAATCCTCAACCTGGTGTGAACAGCGCAGGCCAGGAGGCTCCCCATACCCCAACCTGCGCGGCGCCTTCCAGCTACCTCTCCGGGCGAGGAGCCAGGAGCGGTGCGTCATTGAGCCCGCCCAGTCGCAGGCCACGCCCATCTCCACAGGTCACGCCCACCAGAGACCTCCGTCGCCGCAGGCTCCGCCCAGCTGGCCGCAGGCCCCGCCCCAGTGTCGTCGCTACCGCGGGGTAGAGGATGACGTGAGGAGAGTGGCGAACGTCTCCGGGCTCAGCTGGGCCGGCGGTTCCTACAGCCCCGGAGCCCTGCGTGCTCAGAAGCGCCTTTGGGAGTTCCTCTCCCACCGACCTCTCTTCCTCCCCCTGGGCCGGGCCGCCCCTGCGCGGCCCCTGCGGCTCCTGGCACGGCCCCGCGCTCGGCTGCCGCCCTGGCGCGCTCCACTCTGTCGTCCCCGGACGGGCGCGGACCTGCACGGCCCGGGCGCCGGCGGCTGGGGAGGGGGCGCTGGCCCCGGGGCCGCGCAGGCGCTGCCACCAACCTGGGGCTGTCAGTGGAGGGCGAGTGCTGGTTCCGAGGGGAGGCGACGTCCTCCGGGGCCAACGGGCCGCACGCCGAAGCGGCCGTGGGAACGACTCATCCCTTTTCTAGCCCTGGGGCGGCGCTGGGGTCGGGTTCGGGGCCGATGGGGGCCCCGCCCCCGTCCCCTGGCCTGCCCCCTTCGTGGGCCGCGATGATGGCGGCCCTGTACCCGAGCACGGACCTCTCTGGCGTCTCCTCCTCCTCCCTGCCTTCCTCCCCATCTTCCTCTTCGTCGCCGAACGAAGTGATGGCGCTGAAGGATGTGCGGGAGGTGAAGGAGGAGAACACCTTGAATGAGAAGCTTTTCTTGCTGGCGTGCGACAAGGGTGAGAGCCAGGCCCCTTTCTCCACCTCGGGACGCCCCTGCGCTCGCTCCTCTAGACCTCTCCCCAGCTGCAGCTTCCTCGGGCGCGCCTTCCCTGTTCCCGCAGCGGCCGCTGTCCCGCGCCACCTGCCCCGCGAGCGTGCAGCCGGCGGGCGGGTGGGGTTGAGGCGCGCGCTGCGCGGGGTCCCTGCTGGAAGTGGCTTTAGCCCCACCGCTGCTCCTGACTTTGTGAATGATCTGGGCTAGTGTCAGAGCTTCCAATCTGAAAACCCCCTGTCCTTCCCCTGAGATTCCTTCCATTCATGGGCTTTCACCTGGTGTGTGTGTGTGTATGTGTGTTGGAAGATCCCTTCTGCCGTCTGCCGTCCAGTGACTTGGCCAATGATGGTCGAATGGAATTAAGTTTCTCAGTATCTAGGTAGAGACACTTGAAATAAAGACAGGTCTGGAGAAATTCTGCCTTAGTACCTCAAAGTTTCTCGAAACTTAGGGAACATTGACCCTGAGTTCGTGCTTTTGGATAAAAAGGTTTATGGCTTCAGAGGCGCCTTTGGGAGATAGTAATAGTGAAAAATAATTACAGGGCGAAAATACATGGAATATATTTAGTTTGCTTTTGTTCTTAAAAAACTTATAAATAGGTCATTTTTATGGCCATATGAAGAAGTCTTTTCACATAAGCATGTTTTCGAGTTATGCATATAATAAAAGGAATAGGAAATTGATTGCCCTTACGCATTTTATTTCCTACATGAGGAGTATTGAAAATTTTGTTTCTAAATTTGTGCAGCTTGCTGAACAGTGGCCATGCTAACTTCCTTAACTGTTAGAACTTTGCAGACTTCCAAAACAAACCCAAAGGGCAACTTACACTGTGGAAAGACTACAGAAGATTTTTTTAGTTTGCTAGCATAAATGACAGCCTTCCTAACCTCTCTTATTGCTTTTTAAGAATTTATTCGCACAACTTTTTGAAAACACATTGACATATCAACAGTCCACCTATATCTGTCGTTAAGGTGTTCTCAGGTAGTAGTATTAGTATTATGGAAGCACTTGTTAAGGTACACCATAGATGCAACTATAAGTAGTCTTGGGATTGCAAAGAAATAGAGTATATATCTATATGTCACAAAAATTATGGTCTATTGATTATGTAAAATTTTTGGTGTTGCTAGAGTGGCTTGCCTGAGTTCTCTTCCTTCAAAAATTTTGTGATAGAGAAAGGGAAAAGATTGTATTATACTAGAACAAATTAAGTGGCCACTTCAGCTACCCTAACCTATTATGTTRTGGTTATTTTAAAGCAAAGAAAGTATGTCAGGAAACAGAATTTGATATTTCTGGAAAACTGGGGACAGAGAGATGTCATAATGAAATATGATGAGAGTAACTATTTGTAGTGTGTATTTTAGGATTATTGCATGACATGTATGTAACAAGAATTTTAATTGATAACTGTTTAATAGCCTATCCACAGTAGCTGTTGTCTTGTCAGCTTCCGTTTTATAACATTAAGATTCTTGGAGAGATTTGGCTTTTGAGGATGAGTTGGAAATCAAATATGCATACCTTATCTCCCTATATAAATTTTTAAAATATTAAATGAGAGATTAAGCAGGTATTTTCTGTTTCAGGTATATTGAAACAAGTTCTTGGGTTAGATTTAGAAAAATGGTATATTTCTTACCCGTAATTATGGTATACATTTATATTTAAAAATAAGTTCAAGTTATGGTAATTTTTTGTTTACAAAAAAGAATAGTGTATTTTTAGGTTTGAGTGTCAATATTTAATAATTAAAAGTTTTTTTGTTACCCAAACCCCATTTAAAAGTGAAAATTTTTCTGAGGTAGCTGTAACTCTTACAATTATGTTAGAATTTCAGTAGACCAAGTAGCATACATTTACAAAAATGTATTGGGGTAGAATGCTCATGTTTTTCATAGATGATTTAATTTAATCCTCATAATTCCATGAATCAGATTTTTTTTKTGTGTGTGTATGTATGTAGCTATATGGCAATCACCACCATAATTTATCTGGTTATAGTTGAACAAATGAAAATCATTTATGTCAGAAGAGATATGCACATTTGAACTTAATAGTTGGTAATTAAACTTGCTTTGTATGGATATTTTATAAACCTTGATTTATGTATATTATTAATCCAATAAAGGTAGAAAGCAAGTATGCCACTTTTGTAGCACCAGAGCAGATCAACTAATGTCATTTCACAATCTTATTCTATATGTGTAAAATGTTTAAAATAATCCAATTGGGGAGAATCTAGGAATTCCTAAATTCCTAAAATTGTGTAGATGAGGTAGTTATGTAATGTTAGTAAATGGGTGGTCCTTTGAAAGGTGGGTACAGATTAAGGAGTAAACAAAGAAGTAGGAATAAGAAAAAAAAGGAAAGGAAAGACTTTATAACAGCTGGCTTTTAAGTAAATGAGTTCAATAGTTCTAGGCCACTGCCCATCTGGGTAGTAGCCACTATGACTGTTACTGATCTTCAGAGTGGGTTAGGTTCATGTCAGAGGTAACACTGGCTCTTTTGTTTTTGTAAAAAACTTACAAGAAAACATTAATTAAAAGTTCCTGATCCAGCAATATGTCTGCCCCCACCCAATGAAATTCTCAGAAAGTACATTCATATTCTTTTTAGACAGAATTATACAATTCAGAGGTAAAGGCTAACTGAAACAAGAGCTGACTATAAATGTGTTGTTTTATTAAATAGTAGTGGTTCTCTCTGCCTATGTCTTTTTCCTCCCTCATTGAGAGTTACTATGGTAATGAGCCTCTTTAAATCAGGGGAGTTTACGGTAATCCGTAGGCCTACCAACTGGAAAAAAAAATTTAATTTATGATTCATGTGAATTTTTCTCATTTAAAGTAATTGATTTTGGTACATATTTGTGAACAAGAACCCACATAAACTCTTTAATTTGCTAAGATCAGTAATCAGTTCTTCCATGGAAGAAAGAGGTATGAAAGGATTCCATCTCAGCCAACTCTCCAGTGATACTATTTTTGGGAAATTTAATTTTTATTTGAGTCAGAATTTCTTCTTGACATTTTAGCATGGGGTCAGAGAAAGGGTGGAAAGGGCAGAATTTCACTTTTATTCCTGGGCTTATCCTAGTTTGTATTCTGTCACATTTGTAATATGTTTTCTGGGTTATGAGGAAGAATACTTCAATGATGGCCTTCCTACATAAATTGTGTGTACCGCTGGACTATGGRTACTTTTAAAATGTGCAATATTTCTGGTGAAATGATAAAAGCTGAGTTTAATTAACACCTTATATATTTAATGGGACTTTTTATTTTAGCTATTTGAGAAGAGATTTTAAATGTGAGGTAGGAGGGTGGTGGGAGAGAAAACTGCAGAGAACTGGGTATTGGTGAGAAGTTTTATGTTGGCAGGCAGCACCTAGTGTAGAGAGGTATGTGCTGTGAGAGAAGAATACTTTGCAGAAAGGAGAGGTAAGAGGGTACCTTAGGCATCATTCTACAAATATTTCTCAAATTGTCCTCAAGTGTAGCACTTTGGAATTTTGTATAGGAAAGCTTTTCAAATCACCAAAGTTTTAGATGTACTACTTAGGAAATGTTGCCATCAGGTATGGTTATCTTAATAAAATAATGTTATTTTAACAAAAAAATGACTCACTTCACCAGTGTCTTGATGGACAATTCATCTATAACAGATTCATTGAGCAATTAGCTGTCTCACAGTTGTATATACTGACATTTCTTTGCAGTGATACTACAAGTATATTTCTTAATATTATTTTTACTTTGCTTCTCTTTTCTATGTCATCAAAGTCCTCTTAGCATATTCCTAATTGTGTTAAGGCATTGGAAAAGTGTTATCAATAAATTACTGACCACATTCCTATGTTTTAAGATTTTTTTTCCTTTAGGAAGATGATCTCTTGTGCTAAGGGAGGAGCAGTACAAAGAAAAAAATATTTTGTGTATAATAGATCTGACTGAAGGGAACTAGCACGTGCTTAATTCAACTTAAATGGCTTATATGCGATTTGGAAGGTAGGATATTTCTAGTGTAGAGCAATCTCTTGGGTATTAATAGATAAATAGGATTGACTGATGAATACATAGATAGATGGATAAATAGATAAGCAAGCCAAACCCTTATAATTTCTGTATTTCAAAATCAAAGGGTGTTAAAAGAGGCAATTAATTGAATAAGTGTTGTAGCCTAAAAAGAAATATCTTCTTTACAGCTGATTCTATCAAATTTAGTGATACTGAGAAGTTTAAGATCTAGTGTTAGTAATTTAATAGGTAATAAGAACTTCAAAAGTAATAAAGAAGTGATAGGAGTTATTTTTAGGAACCCAAATGAATGATCAAGACTAAAAGAATTCCAGCACCACCAATAATACTTAGAGATCCAGTAGAATTTCTTTTAATGCCAAAACATGTTCCTCTTAATAAAGTCTATTTTAAGCACAATTAGAAATATTTCAATTAGCATGTAATTGCCATACTCAGTTTGTTGTAGAAACTTGGTTTGAAAAGATTTAAATGTTTTTTTTAGTTGTGGTTGGACACAATACCTTTATTTATTTATTTATTTTTATGTGGTGCTGAGGATGGAACCCAGTGCCTTGCATGTTCTAGGCAAACACTCTACAGCTGAGCCACAACCTTAGCCCCTTTACAAATTTTTCAACAGATAAAATTATCCCACACTTTACTGCTAACTTAAATTTGGTTTATATAAAATTAAAACTGATCAACATTAATGGTCCCATTTCAGTAACAGTCAAATTTAACATCTTTTTTTTTTTGAGAGGGAACTTTAACATTTATTTTTCAGTTATTGGCAGATACAACATACAACATCTTTGTACGTGGTGCTGAGGATCAAACCCCGGGCCACACGCATGCCAGCGAGCTGGCTACTGCTCGAGCTACATCCCCAGCCCTTTTGTTTACATTTTGATTGAAACAACCCAAAATT